TCTCCTGATCACTTATCCTCATATTTCCCACTTGCTTTGAAAACTAAAGAAGACACTTCAAACTTCTTCAACTAAAACCATTGTTATATGAATTCACCTTCCTATTGGACAATTTTCGTTCTACTTTAATTTTGATTGGATTTTATTTTTATAGGGAGTTTTTAAAGAATATTAGTCTAGATAGGCTCCATCTAAAAGATAAGAATTAAACTATTATTCTGTTGAATGAAATTTCTAGGACAAGGGAAAATTTGTGCTGATGATGGTTTAAGTCTAGGCAGGCTTATGAAATTTAAAAGGTGAGTTTTTGATTGGATCGATATTGAGTTTAGCATACTTGGCAGCTTCTACTTCGTATAAAAGCTAAACACTATGCAGTCAATGTATCCTAACGTGAACCTACCATAGATCTCAAATGCATTCTCACTTATGACTGATTCTCATTAAGATTTTTTCATCCAACCGTTTGTCAAGTGCTGATAATGATTTTTTTACTGAACAGATTATTACACCCCTCTGTTCACTTGTGCTGAACTCTGATTGGTTAACAAATTACTGGCCTTCATCTACCTACACCAGTTAAGCTTCTGCAAACAAAATCTAGGTAATGACATTTGACAGCTTGGACACGTGGATTATGTCTCCTAAGATTACTGAAGTCGAAATCGTTCAGACAAATGGTAGGTCATCAGTGTTATCATAGTTATAATATATATCCCAGGTTTTTTCATACCTTATGTTGATTGTTTTCAGTATTTTATTGGCTATTGGAATTTAGAGACTGAGGTCTATAGGGAAGTTACATTATGGTATATGCTGTGATTGTTTTCTATCGACTAGCAGCAGTGTCTAAGGTTTGCATTTATCCTTGCAACTTATCGATTTGTCTGGACCTTAATAAGCATCATTGTTCTTACTGTACCTTCAACCCTTCATTATGATCCTAATATTAAGTCGTTTAATAAGCTGGTTAGTCACTTTAATACAGAACGATTGAAGCTTCAATAAAATTAGTAAAAGGATGGATAATGACTACTTTTCGTAATTCAAGCTTTCTTAGTTGTTACTACCGTCCGCAAATTTTTATCATTGATATATAATGCTGAACTGATAAGTTTCTCTTGTGATCCTAATGTAGGACGGTTGGCTGTAATTAATCTATTCATGAGATTAAGGAGAGATGTGTTTGATTAGTTTTATTTAAATAACCCCTAGATAGGGGTTTGAAAGGAGTATTACAGGAGTAGCTATAAACACAGTAAATCGATACGATTACAGAGTATAACTGGACATTCATAACTTTTGTAATCAGTAACATTTAATTACACCAAAGTCAAACGGGTTGCTCATAGGATTCTATTATTTTCGACAGTTTCTACTAACTGAGGCGGTTAGGCCGGGTGATCTTAATTCTGAATCAGGGTCAAGGGGTAAGTTCGACTAACTTTATAATTGCCGAATATTCATCTGACAGCACTGTGGTCTTCTAAGCACTTCCCATTTTACGTTTCGTTGTAAAGTCATTTTGGATATCATAATTTTTCTGTTGACGACAAACATAGATTTCGTCATTAGGCATGTACTTCAGAAAGGTGAATCTAGCATGTTAGATTAATGTATCAACTTCGCTTGTCAGTTGTTTTGAAAATTTCAATTTGTTTTCCTGTAGTGTTTGTGCAACCAAGTTTATACCTTTTATTCGACGACTTTGGTATAGTGTGTTTTTAATTTTACTCAGTAGGGACGTTTCGATATATTCTCATGTGCAGTGGGATTTCTAGCCCTTAATCAAATTAGTTGTTTCTATCACTTTCATTAAGGAATATGGTTGCTCATCAAGTCATGTAGCTTTCAAACACCTGGCTTAGTTTGATAAGTACATAATTTACCTTCATTATTCAGTTGAAGTTATATTGGTATGGTAGTTTCTTAGTAATCTTATTAAGCTTGATTTTTTCCTTGCCATGTAACGAATGTCTTCGAGAAGTGATGTCGATTTAACCTAACTGTTGTATCTTGTGATTGCATTCGAAATATATGCCCAGTATAACTAAGACAGCAGACTTCAAACTGCCAAATGAATAGCTTCTAAAGCTTACTCCCTAGTTTTCTATCATTTTTATTCTCTTTGGTTGTTGGATTCATTGATTTCTGGAGAAATTGTCATAATAATTATAGATTAAGCATTTATACAATGATTGAAAGGTTCTGTATCTATTTATTCCGCAGACACAGTAGTAATACAGTTTCATACCACATGAATATACCATGTTGGCTTGTCATTTTTGAAGTCATAGTTTTGTCTTCATCATTGGAGTTAGAAGAAAATAAATACAATGGTGTTTCGAAAGCGGCCCCCAACGTACTTCGTCACTTGGTGCTGAGGTTTATTTAGAATCTCAGTCACACATTCACATGAGGCTGGGTAAACATTACATTGTTACCACTTCAGTGATCAGCCATTGTAATTACCAACAGATAGAATGTAATCCAAATATTAAATATAAATTTTTGTGAGACCGTCCAAGTCTTAAAAAACGTCCGTTCAAATGATTGAGAGCGAATTAATTCTTGGATACAAAGTGATATTTGGAAGCATTTCAGGGGATGGAAATAAAAGTAGTTCCAACCATGCGTTTGAAACCGTAGTTTGAAGTTCCAGAAATCAGTGGAAATTACCACATATGATCATTAACAAAACAATTCTGAAGTGAATATATGTCCAGTAAACAATTATTCCTTTTTTCGATAGTGAGGGTGTGATTCATTTGGTGTGAATATGATGTGCATATCATTGCTATTAAAATCTCAGTGGACAAGTTAAATCTTTATGAATGACCCGAGTTGCATTAGTAATCAATTTCATGATAAAACTAAAAGTGGATACGAGATAACTAGGACTGTCAAAATATGCATAGAAAGGATGATACTTGATGGCCTAATTAAAAGATAGGGATAAATGGGAATAAAAAAACAAACCGTTAAAAGTACGTTGCAGCTGACGCCTATGCTATTGGATGTACAACGTAGGTTGAAGAATTGAAGATCATGTTTTGGTAATCAACTAACGTTACAATGTATCCAGACAGACTACATTCTGTGTGTTCTGTTTATCGTGCCGGTATATATAAGGGTTTGACTACATGGTGTTGATTCAAACTTGGTAGACTTTAATTTTACTTCTCGGTTGTCTTTCAAGATTTTGTTTTACAAAGGAAGGTGGTTATTTACTATTTGTATAAATACGATCACATTTGATTTAACACTTGTTTTTTCCCAGTCATAAAATTGTTGGCTTCGTTTATCAGGTTTCTAGCAACTGTCAGTTTTAACTAAGGATACATCGACTGGTAATCTAAGCATTTCCCTGAGCGATTACAATCTCCAGTTTGTTGAATCTATGTATGATTTCTTGTATATATTTGAGGTTCAGTTTCTTGCGAAAGTGATCTAAGTCTTAAGGAATGTTCACAATAACCTTTTTTATATTTTGAAGAAAGACTCATTTGAAGTAATGTGTCCAGAGTTGACTAGAAACTCATATTTTGAACTGAAAGGAATTTTTCTTTTCGACGAAATCATTTACTCTCAATTAATGCTCGTTTTATAGCAATCGTTTGTAACTGATCTCATCTTACACACCATGAGATATGATAGTTTCCTTTACAGTTTTATATTTCACAATTAAACGAGTCAATACTCGAGTCTAAATCATCAATGGAGATTTGTACGAGGTCCTATGTCACCTTGAAATGAATGTTTTAGGTTTGAAAAGCGAGAGCTATCACGGGTTCACGTAGTTTGAGAACGAGATTGAAGATTCGGTGACCAAGGTCCAGTAAGCTAACTATTGACGCGTCCCAGCCCCGCTATCTAGAGTGAGAAGACCAAGCTTAGAATGAAAGTATATTCTGTAACAACCAGAAAACCAGCAACCTTTTTACAAGACAATTCTAAAACGTATATATATATATATATATATATATATATATATATATATATATATATCGATATTGTCATGGAGCTTTAAAACATTTAATCGATAGTTCGTCAATTGACTGCCATTGAAGTATTTAAACATTTAATCGATAAATTCGTCAATCAACTATGTTCGTGGGCGGTAAGAAATGCCCACGTATACATCTGCATACAAGCTCCATAAGATAAAATTACAAACTATGAGTTTTTGGGGATCTATCGTCCCCAACAGAATGACCCAGTTTTCCTTTCCATTATTTATTCCATATTGAAAAAATTTCATCTTACCAGTTAAATATCTTGTTTATGTATACAGTTTTACAATTCTGATATAACTTTTACCCAAGATCCGGCGTTCTTATTAAATATAGAATCCTATAATTTAGCACTATCTCTTTCTGGTTCACTAGGTGGTCACATATCAAACATATTACGTGTAATATAATTTGTAAACATATAAAAGCTTTTCCCTACTCTCAGGATATACTGCTAATACATTTAAATGTTCTTGAGTAATTTAGAAACTAGAATTTGACATATTTTAATTTTAATAATTGGATTCATAAGTCGATCTAGGTTAGATCACTATTGAAAACCTGGAAGCACAGAACGTCCATTCTGTCCTAGCATGAAGCTCCTCAAAAATGCGTATCCATGATCCCTCACACGGCACTCAAACCCAAGACCTTTAGTCTCACGCACAAACACTTAACCTCTAGACCACGATATTAATGTCTAACTTCAATCGATCTATAATCTTGCCTAACCCCTTTATTCATTGTCTGATGTTGATAACTGTCTCCACCCGACACGGATTGGACTCTACTGATTATAACTTCTCACTAAGACTTCAAAGAAAAAAAAATCCATCTTGATGCTAGTCACCAATAAACACATGACGATTATTATCGGAATTGGGATTTGTGAAGATAATAGTAATTTCAAAGGTTATCATTAATGATCTAAATTAGATCAACTGATGAATTTAATTATTTAAAATTACTATAATCTTCCACAAATCCCCTCCCCCTGCCATTCTGATCTATTTAATTTATGAATTCAATGTAAACATATTCAATTCAAACATGATTCTATATCTTATCATGTTTATTTAATTGCACTTAGTAATAAAAAGAACATGTTTATTAAATAAATATAATACAATTTATTTATATTTTTCTTATTTATTTTTTTCTTTTTAGCTAGTAAAGATCTAATTAGTTATGGTAATCCTAATAATAACAATAATAATAGTAGTAGAAGACAAACAGAAGAATATTTAGATTATATTCGATGTATGATTGGATGGAGAAATATGTGAGTAACAGTAGTAGTGGTCTTAGTAGTAGTAGTAGTATTTAACTTGTTATATTATTTTTAATACTTTGAAAGTACACTCATTGACTTCAAGTTTGATATTGATATCTTTTAAATATAGTAAGTGAAATCTATTTATCATATCATATATCATATATTGACATACCTTCTTTGTATGTTATTATTTGTATTAATTCATATTGTTGCTTAGTTGTTTATAGCCAAGATTAATGTAGTTAGTTGTGAACGAACCACCTTTTCAGTATTATTAAGATAATCATATTATACATTTTGATCTTTTGTAATTGTGAATGTTTACAAAGAGAACAACAATAAATTCTTTATATACTAATGTTTAATATTGATAAGTGCAGTATATGCGCATATTTTATATAAGTACATTAATGGTCTGATATTAATAAAAACCATGCACTATAGCTGTATTTAGTAGTTTGACATTTGGAATGAAATATCTCGGAATTAATTTCTTGTATTTGTTAAGATTTCAGACTAAGTTTATAATTTCAATGGTTGAGAACATGAGTTAGTTTAAGGCTAGACTACCATGGGAAACCTGGAAGTACTGGACGGCCGTTTCGTCCTAGCATGGGACTCTTCAGGAGTGCGCATCTACGACCTCATTTGATCAGTTGTAATCTATAACCTGTTAGCAATAGAGTTGTTGGTTTTTTGATATTATTCTTATATATAAACGGATCAGTTCACTAACTGAAGAGGGTTTATTTATCTGGGAAGTTTGCCTTCATGATTGAGAGAACGTTTACTACTTACTGCTGAGTCAGTAGTACAACTCTGAAGTTGGATTTAATGATATTACTCACATGTAAAAATTCTGTTATGAAGTAACGTCACTTCTTTCTATAGACCTATGTTTTTCAAGTGAATATAACAACTATCCTACAACCAATTTCGATCATAGTTAATTTTGATTAAGCCCTTTTATTAGCTTACTTAACAGACAGTGTTAATAGATCAGTAACAATTCGTCTATTTCTTATTACCTTTATGATCGCTAGATCACATGACAGACTAGCTAAAGTGTGGATTGCTTAAATATCACTCGATGATTCATTCTCTTCCCCATGTATATATATGTACTCAAATCCTATTATTAGCTTTTGCTTTGCCTTGCTGTGTTCTTATGCGATTTGACTATAAATTTGCCTATGTAATTGCTCGCATATACATATTTGCCTCTGTGCCTCAAATTCGCTTGATGTGCTTATAGCTTTGTGATCTATGGTATCCGCTAATGAACTGAAGTTGCCGCTTCTCATTGCCTTCTGATTTCAAACACCGTTGAGACTTATTATAACAGTTACAAAGCTAATAGATTAGCGAAGCAAAGCCACTACATATAGACTGGGTGAAGAATTGTTCTTAAAGTAGGAGGTATGCATAATTTTCTCAGCTTTTTCAAGAAAAATTCAAATTATAGTTTGCACATTTTATAAATTGACTGCCGTATGGATGAACACGAACATAAAATGTTATCTATTTTAATTCTGTAACGATCTTGATGATTCTAAACTTGGTGTTCATCTTGTCCAGTTTGAGTCCTCAATATCGAAAATGTAGTGAACTTAGTAATCCGATTCGAGTCAAATGACGAGAATGATTCATTCAGGCTGTAAAACCTTTGATAATCAAGATTCACTGAGTAACTAATTCGTCCTGGTTCCAGATACCTTATCAATATACACTTATCAATCCACATAAAAACACATTTTTTTTACCCTTGGGATACCATTAAGAAGCTGTCGGATTGGAATACAATAATTGCTGATACTCGAGTCTTTCATCGGTATGTGGAAGAACTCGATCCTCACATAATTTAGTCAAGGTGTTGCTATTTCAACTCCAGCTTGTTTGGCTATTTATTGTGGATTTTTATCAAGATTTCAAGATATATATACAGTTTTATTTGGTTGGTTTCGAATAATTTATGATTTCAGTGAGCATGAATAAGGTAATATTCAGTAAGTGACTAATTCAAACCGTTTCTGTTAGCCTATTTTTGCAGACGTTATTCACGGATTGATTCAGATTAGACATTGAGAAATAGGGAGATTTGGAAAAATGTCATCCTAGTATCCTTAGTTTTAGATTCAAATACCGAGGGTAACATCAATTTTAATCTTTAGGCAACCCAAACAACTCAGCGTTAGAATCTTTATATCACAGTGGCTTATTTCAATTTAAATTCCACTGAATTAAACAATTCTGTATTTATGTATACTCGTTATGAGGATTAAACGTCTTAGTTTCGATCTTCGGATGGGGGGGGGGAAGTGTATCCGTTTTCACTGCTACAGTATCTCATATTTGAACGAAGCATCTTAGAAACTATTTTCTTTTTAGATTATTGAAGAGTAATGTTGAGCAAATTAATCTTTTCATAAAGGTCTTATTTTTGTTTTAAAATATATTTAAATCATTTACAAAATAATGATTATCTTTTCTTTTTAGCATTTATACATGTTTAACATCAAATCAAACATTAGATGAAAGTCATTTATTAGATTTAGCAAAATTTCTACAAAATATGGCTATTTCTACTCAAAGATTATTAGAAGCAAATGTAGACTTATGTGTATTTTGTCGTAATAACAATGAACCTAAAGAGATATATACTAGTCATAAAGTAAGTGAGTTTTGTATTACATTTTATTACATAAATAGAATTAGTTATTTTACAAGAAAATATCCAGTTCATTGGTTCTATATTGATCTATCACTTGAAGTATTTCTTTTCTAAAGTAGTCTAAATATTCTGTGTGATATGAAACCTCATCATATATATCGCCTAATCTGTATAGATTTTGACTGGATTATGAAGACCTCAACATCTGAGGGAAAACACGGCATACAATGGATAGTTCAGAATCAATTAGACGATTTGGACTTCGCAGATGACCTAGCCCTTCTATCTCATACACACGAACAAATGCAGATAAAGACAACCAGCGCAGCAGTAGTCTCTGGATCAGTAGGCCTCAACATACACAAGGGGAAAACCAAAGTCCTCAAATACAACTCGGAGAACAGCAATCCAATCAATGTTGATAGCGAAACTCTGGAAGATGTATAATCTTTCACATACCTGGGAAGTATCGTCGATAAACAAGGCGGTTCAGATGCAGACGTAAAGTCTAAGATAGGCAAAGCATGGGTGTACATATGGAACTCAAAACAACTTTCATCCGATATCGAAGTCAGAATCTTCAATACGAACGTCAAGGCAGTTTTGCTGTACTAAGCTGGAACGTGAAGAACTACTACAACCATCATCAAGAAGGCAAAAGTATTTATAAATAATTGCCTGCGCAAGATACTCAACATCCAACATTGGCCGGATACCATCAGCAACACAATTCTATGGCAGAGAACAAACCAGATTCCAGCTGAAGATGAAATTATAAAAAGACGATGGAAATGAATAGGACATACATTGCGGAAATCATCAAACTGCACCACGGGACAAGCGCTAACTTGGAATCCTGAAGGGAAGCGGAAAAGAGGAAGGCCAAAGAACACATTACGTCGGAAAATAGAAGCAGATATGAAAATGATGAGTAACAAGTGGGAAGAGATGGAAAGGATTGGTTGGGACAGTGTTGGATGGAGAATGCTGGTGAGCGGCCTATGCTCCTTCACGAGGAGTAATAGGCGTGAGTAAGTAAGTAAATCTGTATAGCTTAGATAAATTTGTGTAAATCAAGTTACAGGTAATTAGATCTGAGAGTTTCTCAATTATAAAATGTATCTTGATGACAGTGTCTGGTTGTATTTGTGTGTAATACATGAATGTTAAGACGTAGGTAATTGATTATGCGTGGTTCATCGACGAGTGACTTTTTCGATAACTGTATAACCTAGATATATGAGTCAAACAAATATTACAAACGTTTGAATGAATAATGGTCATAATAGTAGTAATAGTCATTGAAACAGTCAGACGTAATGGATTTGAATATGTCTAGTTATTTGATTATTGAAAAACTACTAGCTAATTAACAGAGATCAAAGTAAGTTTGGCGGTGGTAGCTCAACTAATAATTGAAATGATCGAACTACCTTTAAAAGCTTCTGCTATAGTCCAGATGAAGTGGTTTTCTACTTGGCTACAAATCGTTACGACCACGATTAAATTGTGGAATTAATTTCAATACACCTTAGTAATTGCGATTGAAGTATTCCATTAGAGTGAGGCTTAACTCTTCATTGCCGTTACTTGCTGTAGTAAAACAGATAAACTTGAAATGATATGTGATGAAGTAGTTCGCTTCTGAATATGATCACTCATGGATCAACTATGAACAGGATCAGTTCTTATTCTTGCACATCTAACTTCTATGAGATACTGAACTGATGAAGATTAACTGTCATAGATATCCACTAAATTCCTTCCAACCCATCTACGCTCTAATAATTTTGCCTCTTATATACAGATGGACCCGTAGGGATTTAGCTTTTGTAAACCTAATACTATACGTTCAAAAGTAAAACTGCGCGATGTAGAATTTGTAAGTGAGAGTCTCAGGATAATACAAACTAGTGGTTCGAGGTCCTGGGCATTCCACTATTCATTTCTCAATATAACTTATGTAACTCGTAACCTTTTTATATCGTTAACTCCCCATTTTACTGGTTTTCTCTCGTGAGTTGTGACAAGTTAAATGACATATTTTTTTGTGCAATGTGTAAACTCGTTGGGTGAAATTGAAAAGAAGCTCTGGACTTAAGTTTTTTGATGTAATCACTCATCAGCGAGCTGTGCATCTGAAGACTTAAGGTGATTAGTGCTGAGTAACTGGATCCTAACTTGCGTCATCATTCAGTGATATAATCAGGGATATCATACAGGTCATAACGCAACTTAAATTCACTGTTGTCTGTTGAGTGAATTGAACAACTTTAAAGCAAACTGTCCACCTACAGTATCAAATAACGTAGACTGATGATTAACGTTACAACACGATCGATAGAATTTGATCACCCTAAAGAATTGGACAAGCATAATAGTGTCTACCAATATAGAGTGATTTATTAGTGCTCGAACAATTCCCGACCGTTGTTGCTACCTTGACGTGATGGTCGGGCTTGCCTATCGTGATGAAGCAACTGGGCTATACTGGCTGGAACGACCGTTCCTCAAGGTCCTACCATGCCAGACAGGTCGGTTGAAGAGCGGTAAGACTAAAAGCAGTAAATCCAAGGTCCGAAGGCGAAGTCGTATTGCTGACTGTACAGAGGTGTGACAGCAGTAAGGTGTTTCCTTCAGACAACCAGCATAACAGCGATGCTGCCTTCCCACAAGGGGGAGAGAGTTTAGAAAAGGTCGACCCTAAAAATGTACACCTCACCTTATCCCACGGATATCCGTCTCCGGCGGTAAGCTCTCAACAAGTACGGAGCTAACACAAAAATCACTCATAAAAAGGTCATGTGTGACAAACCTCAAGCAGCTGTCCCTTGAGCCCTCCGTTCACGCTCTCAGGTCATTATGACCACCTCTAACCCAGTTTCCTTTTCAGGTACCTCCAGGAGAACTCTTCCACAGTGTGGGCGACCGGGAAGTGATAACCGCCCTCATACCTCTAACAGCACTCAAGACCACTACATTCATAATCAACCTTCCTCTTCAATTCCTTTTATTTCTCCGTCATCGACTTTCAAATGTAAACTTCCTCTATTGGTTTCCTCTTCAAGTGTCACCATGGTCAACGATTCTAGTGCACGAGACACTGTCCCAGGTCTACTGAAACCTCGCTCCAAACTACACATTGAAGCCTTCAACGTACGCACACTATGTCAAATCGGTCAGCAGGCTTCCTTGGCTAAAACCCTAGAATCTCGTACCATTGATGTATGCTGTGTCTCCGAAATACGCATACGGGGTCCTAGTTCTCGTGAACTAGCAGGTGTAGGCATAGCACTAAGCATGAGGGCGGAACAAGCGCTATTATAATGGATCCCCGTTAACAGTCGTCTATACGCCGTTCGGCTAAACGGCTCCGTAAGAACTCGGAAGGATAGGGACACACGTCGTTGCCTTTTCGTCGTTTCTGCCTACGCTCCCACTGACTGCAGTTCGGATGAAGTGAAAGATGAATTTTACAGAAAGCTGTCTGAACTTCTTCAGAAAGCTAAACGTTCAGACATAGTACTCGTAGGAGGTGACTTTAATGCTCAGGTAGGTAGCTTAAACGAAACAGAAAGACATTTAGGTGGGTATTTTAGTATTCCGGCACAGAGAACAGATAATGGTGATCGTCTGCTGCAACTGTGCTCAGACAATCGTTTATTTTTAGCAAACACAAATTTCAAGCGTAAGAAGAGACATCGTCTAACATGGCGACCCCCTGCACCAAACCAACGATGGACTCAAATAGACCATATTGCCATCAGTCATCGTTGGAGAGGGTCGATAGAAGATTGTCGCTCATTCTGGAGTACCTGTTTGGACTCCGACCATGCCCTAATACGAGCACACACATGCTTGCGCCTCACTGGACGCAAATAAGCCACATTAAAAAGACCCATTGGAACTGAAATGAGTAACGAGAAAACCAAAAGTAGGTTCCAAGAACAACTGAGGTCACACTTAGTTAGTTCTGAAAACGAGGCTGACCCAGATATTACTTGGAAAGATATACAATCAGCTGTGGAAACAGCAGTGACATCTACTAGTGATTTAAACCAAAGGGTTAAAAATAACCGATGGATTTCTACTAAGTCTCTTGCACTGACAGATTCTCGTAAACTCATCAGGTTCTGAACACGATGAAGAGAGAAAACAAATCAGATGTAGGTTAAGCAAAAGTCTAAGGAATGATCGCGAGCAGTGGTGAGCAACGAAAGCAGAAGAGATGGAAAAGGCGGCGGTTATAGGTAACACCAGACAGCTCTTCAGACTCATAAAAGAAACTGGAACTAAAAAGTCAGGTGTAAGTGAGACTATCTCGGAAAAAGATGACGTTCTTATTTGCTCCCAGTCCAGACGTTTAGAATGGTTGGGCGAAACACTTGAAGGATCAGTTCAAATGGCCTTCAGCTACTCGTAAGTTACTAGTATTTGACCACAGGTGCCTTAGAAATATTGCTCGAATCTGCTGGGATCACCAGGTAAGTAATAGTGAGGTTAGACGCAGGGTATTAGGGAATGATGGTAAATCAGTTGATGAGGTTATGAATCTTCATCGACTGAGATGGTTGGGCCACGTGCCACGATTATCACGATGCGCAATGCTAACCGGTGTTAGGGATAATTGGAAGAAAGTTAGGGGCGGCCAAACCAAGACGAGGCATCAGTGCTTGAAGTCACTAACTTCTGGTCTGAGCCATGTTGGTAGATGCAGACTACCTGGTTGGGGTCCGCGTGACTATCGTAACCAATGGTTGGAGACTCTTGGTGACGTGGCTCAGAGTCGATCACAATGGCGTCGGTGTATACACTCTCCGTCTTCCTTTAAACTAAGAGATTAAAATTGCTTTATATCTTACTTTCTACCAACTAATTCTTTCATCCTGTACTATCTACTTATATGCAATCTTTCTTCTATATATTACCACCACTGAATTAACTACTGTGAAACCGGTGTTCATCTTGTTGTGCTAATGAGGTGTGGCAACTTGGACCGATGCATATATGTGCCTGGTCCTACGTTGCAGCTGACTGACTGACTGTTTGAACAATTTTATACTAGAAAAATCAAAACTAGAGTTCTTATTCGATGATTTTTAACGCGAATCTCGTCGATACTGTTTAGTTTGGATAAGGAAAATTAATCAGAAAGCTAGCAAATATATAATCTGTTAGATAAATACTCTAATTGAAATCATGAAAAATACTTTACAAACTTCAGAGTATATCAATTTTGACGTCTTTTTGTAATGGTCGCCACTTATGATTATATCAATGTACTAATTCCATTTTCGTAGTTCAAGACAGAAGTTGGATTTATTCAACTGCTTTGTTTTACATCTTATCATCTTTCCAATGTTATCCTTCTTTCATATTCGCAATTTGGATTGTGGGAACCATAGAAAATCGGAGAAAATTAAATTGAATGAGTAGTTGACAGGCTAATTTATAACGAATTATAATCTTAGATAAAATCAGTGTTAAATGTGCGGGGTTATTGTCATGAGGCAAAAGTCCTACACCAGCATCATATAAATCTTATAATAGTTTGGATAGAAACTGACTAACAAGGTTAAATAGAATCAAGGTTATTAGCGTTTAAAAATATAACTGAACAATTAGTTATGAGTTTTGAAGTATAATTTTGATCATTTCAAACAGATTGAGCATTGGATGGTTTGTTTATAGTGATGAAAAAATATATTTGTAATATCACAATAAATAGGAAGTCTGATTTATAATGTTTTACGAGTTGGTCTAAATCTATATCAACACAATAGACAATTAAAACCTTTGGTAGTAGTAGTAGTGTAGTGAACGAGAATACAAGTGGAGACAATCGAATTTATTTGAATATAAAATTATAGAATATCTTAGTGAAATCTGAGAACCATTCAGTAAGTAGTTTATTTGCAAAATGTTAATCAGTTGTCTCATACTTTATGGTTCTTTCATTTCCACACCAATCATTGTCTGTTCTCATTCTCTTGTCTTCGATCTTCGTAACCTTCTATCTCCAGGCGTTTCACTTTTGATTGATCATACATACTACTTATATCTGTCGACATCAGTAGCACACGCCACAGTACCAGTAGTACTTTCTTTAGTCGAGTATTCGTTGGAAAGATCATATACTTTATTCTTATTTGTCGTTTTCAATCTCGTGACGTACCAAGCGCAAAATTTATTTTGGTTATTCTAGCAAATACAAGATATATATATATAAATATATAAGTACACGGACGCTTTGTTTCCATCTATAATCCAGGTTAAAGATCGTTTTGGTCGAGTAACTTGTCCAATTCTACGTAAATTCACTTGTCCATTATGTGGTGCTACTAAAGATCGTGCTCATACAATAAGATATTGTCCAAAATTATTATTAACAAATCATAATCGAAATGGTAACAGTAGTGGTGGACCCACTTGTCCTATGATTGAAGCTGGTTTGTTGGAACCGATACAGTTCTCGACATCGAATTCATTTTAAAAATGAAATCTACTTGATAATAAAAGAACAATGCAAATGAAATATTTTCCAACCAATTAATGCAACTGATGATGATATATTGACTATTATTATTATCATTATTGTTATTATTATTATCACTATAAATCAGTGCTAATAAATTATTACATGATCAGTATATAATAGGAATAGGTTCTCTTTCTGTTTAGTCAGTATGATTCTCTGTAAATCCGAGACTAATGGTTAATTTCTACCTTTTAAAAGAAGAAAGTATGTCTAGTAAGTTTTAACATTCAAGTTAAGTGCAACTTCCTTGGATTACCTTAACTTATAAGGTTCAAGGTTTTGTGTAAATTTGCCAGATCACTATCATAAGATAAAAGTATTTAATTCAATGTTTTAGTGCTTATGATTTGTAGAATATTTGATTGGTTTTAGTTTATTGGTTTACATAAACGACCTACTGCCCACCCACAAACCAACAGTGTTTAAAACACACCATGATGTGAAGACATACTTACATTAGTCTTACTTGAAAGTCGTAATGCAGTTAATAATGAAGTTGGATGAACTAGTTTATTGCACAACCCTTTGGTTTCCTGAGGAATTAATGGATATTTTCGCTCAACATAAATATAACTTCCTACATGAGCCCTGTTCCAACCTGATGCCAGTCCCGGATTACTTACAAAATGCTGTATGCAAGATGCAACTGCTGTTTCTTTTGAACTCGACTTTACCGTACCGAGAAATTCTTATACACTTCATTTTGTGTATCAAAAGGAAATCAAATGTGCCACAATACATGAATGTTTTACGCTTCACAGAAATTATCAAAACCGGTAACATGTATGGTGGGATTCTTGTCATTGATTGCTCATATTTTTTTCATCTGCCAATTTACGCTTTATGTCTTGCGATAAGTATTTTCTTTGCAATTTCTAGAAACCACATACACGCTTGCAATGTGATTCTTTGGACTTATATACAAATTATTGTGTATTATCCTAACATATTGCTTACGACCTAGTTCAATCAGTCACAACGTAAAGCCCGTACGTATGTTCATGGATTCGATTCGCCGTACTCATTCAGCACACCGAGATGAAATCGTCAGGCTAAATCCCAGAATAGTAGAGGTAGTAACAGTGTCAGTGGTAATATAAAATGTTAGGCATCAAAAATATGATTCACTAGGAGAGTATATATATACTTACCGTTACTTACTCAATATAAAAATGCAGTCCAGACAGCTAAGACTTGAAGTTTTTATTTATCTTGAAAATAAGAAGTAGTATACATAATGCGGTAAGGGAAATGATTGAATTCATCAAACAAACACGTCCCTGCTATTAGGGCGACATGTGGAGTTAGTGATAAATAACGCAACAGCAGTTGCTACCTTGGACTAAACCAAGCCAATATTGGCTGGAACACATGTTTCTTTAGATCCTACCACGTCAGTTGAAGAACAGTAAGATAAAAAGTAGTAAGTTAAGGTCCGGAGTCGTACGGCTGACTGTGTATGGGTGAGACAGCAGTAAGGCGAAAGCTCCACGACCAAACCATCCAGCTCAGGGAACAAAACTCCATCAGAATCATCCACCTGAGTTACAAATCATCTCAAAGTCATAGCGTAAGGAGTTCCCCTCGAACGACCAGCATAGCATCGATTCTGCCTTCTCACAACGGAATGAATGGGTTAGAAAAGGTGGACTGGAAATGTCACACCTCACCTTAAACCAAAAGGTTAGGGCAAATCAGTAGTTTCATCGGCGTCTACGGAACTAATAAATGCTCAAAAATTCATCCTGTCTGGCTCAAAACATGTGTTTCCAGGTGTAGGAGTAGGATGTAAGATGCTAGAGCTGGCCAGACCGAAACATGGCATCAGTCCATAAATTTACTGACAATTGGGCTGAGCCATGTTAATAGATGTAGAGCAGCTGGTTAGTGTTGGAGTGATTACCGTAACCAAATTGTTAGAACTTGAATAACACGGCTCAACATCGTTTGCAACGGAGCAGATGTTTCCACTTTGTCTTTCCCAAACTCAGATTCTGAATTCCTCACAGACTTTGTTTTTCTTTCACTAATATATACTCTCCTAGTGAATCATATTTTTGATGCCTAACATTTTATATTACCACTGACACTGTTACTACCTCTACTATTCTGGGATTTAGCCTGATGATTTCATCTCGGTGTGCTGGATGGGTACGGCGAATTGAATCCATGCACATACGTTAAGGTTTTATTTTGTGATTGACTGACTGAACCATCAACCCTCTGCTTTCTTACGTGTCTTGGGGTTAACTCTGGAGCATATCGGTATATTCCGATCGTCATATCTGGGTGGGAAATATAGATGTGCTGAATAGTTGCTGGGAGATAGTTTCAGGCGTGTTATTTTTTATTCTATGAACTCACCTTTCTCTTTTTTGATGTATACACAAGCCTCGGTGTGAGTTGGGCACTTAGTTTTAGTCTGATCATCCTCAATCTTGTTCTGACCTCACTCAACTTAATCGTAATTACTTTATTCAAATTCAAGCTATATCATTTATATGAGGAAAAGTAGTACTGTCTGTCTGCAAAATTTTAAGTTGAACAAGGTTTGAGCTTGTGACTTATTGAGAAGCTGAACATTGGACCAAAAAATGTAGGTCAGGGCTACGTTGCGTTATACGAAGCAATCTTTTTTAATATTATATGCTTTGTCGGTCTAATACGATATATTCAGAGGGACGATTCTAGAATGATCTGTTCATTTACCTGTATTGACACTAATGCTTTTCAATAAGATAGAAGTATATTTCCTAAGTAATGCTTATTGATCTCTGTAATTTTACACGTAACCATTCCCTTCACACAACCTAAGTTAGAGGCCGTCTTTCTAATCATTGATTATGACAATTAAGTTTATTTTTTGTTACAACTAACATTAGGTACTTTAGAAACTTCAAACAAACAGACAGAACATACTTGACTAATTAATTTTATAAGAACACGGGAAACATTTGTATCATTATGAGGTATTAACATACGAAATTTTTTTGCATGTTAAACATGTGTATAAGAAAAAAGACTCTTTAGTTTGAAAACGATTACACATGAAAGGAACAGAAAAAATGGGTAACATAAAATGGTGATGACTGTACAGCGATAAAGCTAATGGCAAATTAATCGATTATTTACGAGTATCTCCCAGTAGCAGTGGTAGTAATTATTATAGTGGAGTTACTGGTGTTCATGGTCAAGTCTTCATGAATAAAGGAATATAAACGAGAGATGAATGCATGACATGATTGACGTTTTTTCATGAAACCATTCAGTAACATACAATTAAGGTACATTGACTAAATGGTTGACAACAACAAATGAATGGGTGAGATGAAAGAAATAATTACAAAGACAATAGAGTGAAAAAGAGTACTTTATAGTGATTACGATTATTAACAAGTTCTATAGACATATACAGAGAGTGTTTATGTACTACATGGACAAATGTATATAGTCCCCTCTGAAATAATAAAGCGTAAAATTAATAGTAGTTCTGAAGGACCATAAAATCTGCACAAAAAAGTTAGGGTGTTTGCGAGATTCAACAAGATCAGAATAATATGGTAGGGTGTACATTAGTAGTAGTAGTTATGTTTATAAATAAACACAGTATTTAACAATAGCTGCATATACACTCCAATAATAGAGGAATGAATAAAGCATGGGAAAATTACAAAATGAAAGAAATTAAAGGGAAAGAAGAATTTACTCGGAGTGATTGAATACATGAGGGATAAAAAAAAATGGTATACAACGATCTTGTTGACAACAATAATTTTAAAAACACGTTTGGCTGCCTTTATTACAATTAGATTAATCTTTATTGAGGAAATTTCTGATATAATTATCAACTTCTTCACCGTCGCTCAGTGGTTCAGTGAAGCTCTACAGTAGAAAGGAAAATGGTATATATTTGAGATTGGACATATATGGGATCAGTTCAGAAATGTTTTGTCAGAAAAATATCATGGTAAACTAGTTTTAAAATCGCTACTGCTTAGTCACCTGTTGGAACACTAACTGCCAAAACTTTGTAAACAACTCAGTCAGTTACCACGTTCTTTAAAAAGGGTCGGAGGTAAGTCATCTGATCCCGGTGATATGTAGCGCTTCAAGAGATGGAGTTCCTTGTGGACTTTCGCTTCATTTGATGAATCAGTATTCGTCAGAGACCATTGACAACAGGAGAGTCTAATCGATGTTGCCGGGGCAGCAGACTAGTTGAACTCCCCCTCTTCCAAAATGTCGATAGATGTTAATGATTGGCATCCCGTCATCACGGATTTTTCGCTCACACCAGACTTTTTGCTGCCAGTGGATCGGATGAGTCGAAAGTTTTTGGTAGTTACCAGGTGCACTTGCTGCTTCCAACTCATTGACACGCTCTGACCACCAGACTTTTCGGTCCATACGCAAACTTTGCTCAATTTCCTTACGTAACAGTCGTCGTTTGTGGTCAAAAATTACGGTCACCCGGAGTAGTCCGACGGGCTTCAGTGAGTTGTAAGGAGCCTAATGAAACCCAGTGCTTGTAAGCGGGACGTTTCGCGAAGCCACCAGCGACTTTACTCGCCATTTTCATGGCGTCATGCAATTGCAACCAATTTTCATCTATACTTTTCGATGGGATGTTAGGCAGCCTTGAACCCAGTTTGGTTTGATATTTAATTGCAACAGAAGCTGCGACCAAATTATTGACCATTGAAAAGTAAGGTAAGATTAGTGCAAACAAGGGCATGATCAGAGTCCAGATGGGAGTGATAGCAAGTGCCAACGGTTTGAAAAGGATACCTCGTCAATATACCAGAGAAGGGAGATCTGAGCAAATGTAGGAAATAAAGAAGCATCACACGACCATCGGTACCAAAATAGGATTACAACAGAGTGTTGATCAACCGGATGAAAGATTCAGTAGATGCCTAGCTTCGAGATCAACAGGCTGGATTCCGTAAGAATAGATCGTGCACAGACCAAATCGTGACACCACAGATAATCGTTGTACAATGAATTCAATGGAACTCGTCACTATACATCAACTATGAGGAAGCATTTGATAGTGTGGATAGGAGGACCTTATGCAACCTTCTTCGACACTTTACAGTACCTGAGATCATCAATATCATCCGGAATTCATACGACGAACTACAGTGCATATTCGTGGATGGAGGATAGCTGACAGATGCATTCCAAGTGTGAACCAAATTCACACAAGGCTGTTTACTCACATTTTCCTCATTCTGCTGCTGGTTGACTGGATTATGAAGACCTCTATATCTGAGGTGAAGCACGGAATACAATGGGTAGCTCGGATGGAGAATAGTGGTGGACAGCTCAGAACCAATTACATGATTTGGACTTTTCAAATGATCAGGCTCTTCTATCCAATACACATCAACAAATGTAGGTTAAGAAACACAGTATTGCATCAGTAGGCCTCGACATACAAAGTAAAAAAGTAAGATCCTCAAGCACAACATGGACAACGCCAAACAATCACACTTGATGGAGAAACTCTGAAAGACGTGGAATGTTTCATGTATCTGGGTAGCAGCATCGATGAACGTGGATCTGATGCAGATATAAATGCGAGGATTGGCAAAGCGAGCGATGCGTTTCCACAATTGAAGAACATATGTACGTCAAAACAACTTCCAACTAATAGAAAAATTATAATCTTCAATACAAATTTCAAGACAGTTCTACTTTATGGAGTTGAAACATGTAGAACTACCACAACCACCATAAAAAAAGTACAAGTATTTGTAAATAGTTGTCTACGCAAGATACTGAATGTTCGTTGACCTGATACCATCAGCAACAACCTACTGTGAGAGATAGAACAAACCAACTTCCAGCTGAAGAGAAAATTAGGGAAGGAGGCTGGAAGCAGATAGGACACACATTGAGGAAATCATCAAAATGCATCACGAGGCAAGCACTTATGGTCGGCCTATACTCTTCCACGAGAGGTAAATGGCGAAATGTACAATTTGGAAAGTAAACTTGGGCTGAAAATAGTACTAATTAAAACTTAGAATTCACAAAGTAATCTATTCGCAGAGTAAAAACACTGCATGTAATGAACACATTGTGGCTATTTGTTTTCATCTTTAAAAGAATATTAATTACTAGCCCGTTATTTTGCGATAACATTATTTAATTAATTAAAGCTTACAGGATCATATTTTTTCAATAGTTCACAAACATTGAATCGTAACTCAGTTAATCGATCAGAGCATATTTTGGTTTCTTGCTGGAAAGTGGCCAAGAGCTGTATAAAAGAAATGAGATTTTCCAGAGTATATAATTTGAGTTAGAAATCATAAAAGGAAAAGACTAACCTGCTCACTTTGTCCGGTAAATAAGCAAACTGTGATGAAAAAAATCTTTATACGGGATATGTCAATTTTATAACTTATTTGTGGCTATTCATTTATCTTGATTCAATTTTTGCTATTCGAAATATACCTCGAAGTATTTATAAAGAGTCAGGTTCTAAATTCGGCTAGTCATTTCATATCTAGACAGACAAGTGTATACAGATGACGTTTCCAAATTTAGTTCAGCAGTGACTATTTTGTTGATCCATCGGGGATAGGAGTGCATAAGATATAACACACAAATGCAATGCTTTTTATCATCGATTGCGAATTATCATTTTTGGATGATACATCATCCCTCTTTTATTGGAAGATTTATTCGCTAGAGTTCAGTGAGTTATTTTATTAAATCGCCCTCAACACTTGGTACATTTCGTAAATTTCATCCGAAAGCAAATTTAATTCAATTCGTATATTTAATAAACACAATATATTTTGTAGATTTTTTCAGACGAATATGTTATAATAAAAGGGAATAGTACCTGATATTACTGGGCTATATTAATTGACATAGAACTCGAATTCTCGGTTAATCTTTACTCGTATCTCATGATGATCACTTCAGTTTCTAAACCAGATCTGAGCAGTAGAAACAAAGTAAATAGCTGACTGGTCGCGTTGGGTAAGTCCCAAAATATATCTCATCAGTCTTGAGAGGTCGAGAAACGCTTTATCTAATAAGTGTTGAATAGAAGCTTCGCGGAAACATCTAGGAAATGAAGAATCACGTCACGGTTCTGATTGGACATTGACCTACATCGCTACTATATTTAACATGTTTACAGAAATTTCTAGAAGCCCGAAGTTGTACGTAACTTTGTAAATACACTAGTTTTTTTCTGTACATGACCTAACCTTTAAATAAAGCTTTTACTCGCAATTCGAGTTGTCTCTCTATTGTTCCAGTTGACATGTGGAAGTAGTGGAGGTTATAGGAACCGGCTAGGAAGACAGTTTAGGCGTATCGCTAACAGACTTATTACCAAAGTTCACAAAAACTCAAGCTTTTAGAAAAGGTGGGAAATTGTCTCAAAGTTTGGTAACGCAAATGGTTTAACCGAAACTGTGTAGCCTAATAAAAGGAGAATGAAACTTACAGATCGAAGACCTTGTTCATAGCGATCGAAGAAGTCTTCTAAAGGAAAACTAGCAAGATCAGAATCTGTAAGGGTATGAATTTGGTCTTTTTCCATTGGCCATTCAGGGGGTAGGAAATACCGAAGACAAACCCTACATGGTAGGAAAAATAGAATATATGTGCCATACAATTAAATTTATACTAGATTTCGAAAATAATATTAAGGCCAAATTATATGGAGTGACATTATGAAAGGTTCGATGTGTGGAGACTGAAACACCATGCCACGTCATATCGAAGCTGAATGAGTATACAGAAAATCTTACATTCAATGTGAGATACCATTATTTTTGTATGGATTTGTAAACGATCAGATAAGAAATTACCCCTTTACAGCTGCGAACATAAATTTACTGTAAAATTTAAGGTAGAAGTAAACTATAATGACAAACTAATAAGATTTGAGGTGGTGTTCACAGTTTTACACGGAATTATATGTGCCGTGGTGGGCGGCCCAAACATTCTACCATTGGAACGCGTCACTAGTGATTATAGGGAGGAAAACACCATAAACTATTTACAAAACAATCTATAAGAAATGGTGCTCATAAAATCTGAAGACATATAAGAAAAGGTTCTATTCTGTTACAACATATATGGGTGGTGTGAGTCATTTTAGCCAGTTTGTTTTCCAACAAATCGAGGTTACAGCTGAAACACTTGATGTTTTTGTTTATAATCTGGTCCCATGAATTCAACTAAAAGCTCCAAGGGCTTGAGAAAACGTGTCAAAATTTAGTGCAATGTAATGGTGCAATTACTGTAAGTAAGTCTGTCCTGAAATCCTGATACGTTTACCATTAACATTAGATATTAGTATGATTGTTGAGATGAAACTGTCATCGGGAACGAGGAGTATAATAGGAAAGTCGGTTGGGTAGCCACTCTGTTCCTCTATTTGTAGTAAATTTTCGGGAAAGTCCCTTTAGAAAGCGGGATTCTGAATATGTTCAAAATCAACAATCGAAAATATTAATTCCTATCGTAAAAAAAACTGTTCCACCGGGAACTACTATAATAGTTCTAAGGATACAAACACAGATTTGTTATAGAAGCTATTTGAATAACTATTTAGGGTCATATTCTAACTCAGGAGGAATGAATTACTTTACCGAACATATCTCAATAATTTTTATCTCCTGATCTAATTTTCAACATGGAAAAGTTCATTAATCATATCAAAACTGTTTCGTCATTGTAACTTTAATATTTCACTTTGTTCTTTTAAAATTGTTTTATAACTAAACATTGTTTTCTGATTTGTTGAAAGAAGTTGTTCAACTTAATCTATATAGTTTATTTTTGATAATTTGAATTGAAAATATTTTTTAGGAGAAGTGTAAAATGTTATTTCAACAGAAATGCTTACTTGAATTTCTCTTGAATCTTCTTATGAATTGCAATATTCTACAAAAAAATATATATACATAAATAAATGAGTGAAAAATTATGACTGAATTATGTAAAATGATTGAAATGTTCAATACTATACCTCGTTATATGAGTATTTTATGAATTAGAAACACATAAACCGATAAATATTTTAACAGTAACAACTGTGAAAACTTCAAATGACGACAATTCTTATTAAATATTTTTGTTTATTTCATTTAACACTTCAGTCATTATATAGCGTATCTAAGGCTATAACAACATTATTAGTGGATAACAGAATATCAATGGCTAGGAGGGGGGTGGAATAAGTGATTTCAAGACATAAGCATTGCTGGGTTAAGAAATTTAGTGGGGGTTTACGATGATTATTGTTGATAACATTTTCGAAAATATACGATTTATCAGTTCGAAATTAAAAATAAAACCAATGGTACATTGATTTGTCTAATGGTTTAAGTGAATAAATTTGCAAACAATTCTTGAAAGCATATTATGCAACAACTTTTCCTATCCTAGTTATTATGTTACCATTTCTTTATCGGTTCTGACGGTTAACTCTAATTTTACTATGATATTTTGTGTAGTCCATCTTTTGGTTCATTTGTCGAAACAAGTTTAATAGGATAATATTATGAGTTATTATTTGATGAATAATGCAAAGATTGAGGACTATTAAAATAACTGAATGGAACACCGATCGATAAATAAACAGAATGTAACGGTCACAAAACTGTATCACTGACGCACGTCTCTGAATGAACTGATATTAAAAAAAAACCCATTATTCAGGGAATGGGATTTCAACGAAAGAACATCCCGATTCTCAGCACAAAAATGAACATGATCTGGTGAGTCATAAGTAACTGGAAGATACAGATCATGTAAATTAATCAAATGTCAATGAGGCTAAGACCTGAATATCAGGTTTGATTCCTATTTGAAGTTTCAGACAAATATACAAAACCAGATGTTACTGAGTTCCATGGATGATTTTGTATGAGATTGATTATTAGCAACAAATACAATTTCCACAAATCCTCTATGCCAGTACCAATCATGTGCTCATTAGTGACTAGCTCCAAGATGTAACTCCTGAAGTTCTGGTGAGAAGCCATAGACGGTGGAGTACAGTCCCGGTTGTTCACCACAGGTAATCGATGAAGTTATGCATGATCATAGACTGATTTAAATCAAACGTTGACATCACTGGATGCCGACTCAGTGATCGGGAGGTTGAGGGTTCAGACACGAGATTGAAGGTCTTGGGTTCGATTCCCGCACACAAGGCCGTGAACGTGTACACTTGAGTCCCATATTAGAACGAAACGGCTTTCCAGTGTTTTTAGGTTTTCAATGGTGGTCTAGCTAAAACTAGTTCATGGTTTCAACGTTTAAAAGAAGTTTTCTGCTGCTGATGAACAAGCTAAGTAAAGTCTCATATCATAATGGCTTTCAAACAACTAGTATAACATGTACTATATGACCTTGTGGTTTGAAAGTGATGCAGGTTTTGAATTAGTGAGCTACAGCTTCATAGACGGAAATTAGGGAATATTGGTAGGTAAAATTTAACTATTAGTAAAGCAAATGGATGAATGGCGATAATAAACGCAGAAACAGCCATATACATATTAAGGGAGTCGACGATGGGCATTTTAGTTATGTAACGAGTGATAAACATAGTAGATGAATTGGGTTTGAATGCAGGACTTATCAGTACCCAAATACTTTGTTACTGATTTCCAACTATATTGAAATGAAATCTATTGAAAGCACGGTACGCACCAAAGTGATGAGGTTTTCTTTCAATTTCGTGGAAAACATTGATTACGGCCAAGGAGAAATTAGAAGGCAGTTTACGATAAGAACGATAAATGAATTCGGAAAAAGGTCCGAGTGCAGACTAGTTACAGTGGGTGTGTTGTGATAGTAGGAAATAATACAAATGTTTACATCTAATTTCATGTATCATTTTAAAAGGCTGAAATAAGTGACCCTTTGTTGAAAAGACGGTCTATTCCTTCCATTCGCCTTGAGTTTATTTATTTATTTTAACACATAGGTATTGGTACAAGGAGGCACCAAATACATATGCGCCACACGAATCTCAATTGATTTGTGTGAGGGCTGTGATACTGCCCGGGTGCCCAAACCGAAGCAGGTATTCGCCTTGATTAAGTGTATACAAATGAATACACATATAATAAAATGTTTCGTTTGTCAAACATACTAAAACTTGATAGTCCTACGGTTCTAGTTTACACAGGAAATAAATGAATTATATTTCTGATGTGAGATGTCACGTATATCGTCAGTGTATGACACGGTGTCGTGGTATGAAAAAAAAGCTTTATAGAACTGGTATTTCTTGGTCCTTCACAACTTTCTGGATGGGAAATCAAGAAATCAGTGAACTAACACACAAATTATTCGTTCATCCAGTAATTTAAAATATTGACATCAAAAATTATTTCAAATATCTAATTAATGAACAAATCTTACAGCTTCAGATGATAAAGAGTTAACTGTCGAATTCAATTCTTTCGATTTATTTCCTGTAGAATCATTGTTTTTATTTTGATCCCTTTATTTAAAAGAAAGAAATATAAATATATACAACCGATTGGTTGAATTACAATTGAACAACAAATTTACAGCAAAATGAATCGCAATGATGTTACTTATTTATGATGTGCAAACCAAGGCAATAGCGCTTACGAAACGAATAACAAACCCATTCACTAGATACTTGAATATATGCCATCTCTACTACTCGGTTTCCCTGGAAAAAAGTTGGGGAGAGGTTGAAATCTAAGATCAAACGGTTGAAAGCTAAGTGGTTTAATTACGAATTCATCACTTCACGATATAAAAGAAAACTTGACAACTCAGTTATTTAAAATAAATACAGTAAGGATTCTGAATCTAATGTTAAAGTCTGTTGTAATTAAGAATAGTATCTAAAGTGTTTGTTATGTTTTGAACGTTTTAATGTGACACGGTGTCCCTAGTTAATCAACAAAGCAATTAGTCAGTCAGTCAGTCACAATGTGGCATCTGGTACATATGTACATTGACCCAAGTTATCATGCCCGATTAGCACTGAGAGATGAATTTTTTAGGGCAAATCCTAGAATAGTAGAAATACTAACAGTATCGACAGAGCAGTAATCACTCAGAGGGTATTCATAACAAAACTAACAATTAATATGCACAACACAGAGAGTTTCCTTAAACTGACAACCAGCTACCGTATTGCCTCGTAGAGGATTTCGATAAAATACCTAGGAATCGATTTCCAACAAAATAATTAAAGACTAGTTTAAACAATTCAAACAAGTTTTCGATTACTGTTAACATTAGTATTATCTCCATCAATAGTCTTGTTGATTTCCGCCTCAGTATATTGATATAAAGTAACGGAGGGTAGAACTAGTGTACATTTGTTTTCATCAGACTCAGTATTGTTGGCGTTTATAGAGTAGTTAATAGTGACAAATTATTTTTTTAATGGAAGACGATATAGAAGGGGATTTAAATATCCATAATAATAATAATAATCGGGATTTGGATCGTGTATTAACTTACTTATTTACTATAGATGTAGCATCACCGTTGTCTGGACCTATCGAAGTTCGATTACGATGATGCATTGTGACTGAATCGTGTGCGGGACTTTTATCTTTATTAGTTGATCGTTTGCCATTTAATTCATCAGTTGTCTTCTGAAGACTTTTTTCAGGGGTTTGTGAAGTATTGATTTTAGTCTGGGAACAAGTTGAAATGAAAACATCTACATTATATACTTTATTGAAACAAGAAAACAGGTTTGAAGTCACTTGAACAATCATTATTGAAGTACGGACATAGGACGGGTGTTTAGTATCGGTTGTTAAATAAGACAAGATAGTGAGAGGAAATCAATTAAATGAGAAGTATAGAATGGGAAGTAAAATTGAAGTGAACGGAAGTCGAAATAGGAGAAATACAGTTTAGAAGGAATAAATGTCCATCACGACATTTTGGATGATGCCTAGATAAAGACAAACATCTTAACTAAACCACTGCGTTACAGTTCTGTATGCGGTTACTAAGTCGAAAATTGTATATCAACCATGATTTGGGTATATACGTTAGATTTCAATGGTTTACGATTAGATGTTGACTCAAAGAAACCCCATATTTTATGCATAAGTATATTGATTTTGGATAAAGGTAATATGAACCGGTCTGAAAACTTTCTGTTGTATATTATTCAATACAATACTAAAATTATTTATATGACAGAACAAGATAAACTTTAGAACCGTTTTATTACCTTCTAAGCTTGACTTTTAATGAGGTTTATCCACGTGTCATCTTTATTGTACTGGTTGAATCAGTAAAAATTTCTGATAGTTTGTTAAAAGACGCGGTGATTTATCGTTATAGTTAACCGGAAACAAAATAAATTCTATGTAAGTTCACCACTGATAATAGATGGTTAACAGAAATCCGTTATGTATACTTCAGTATTGGACGTATTAGATATAAACGATTTGCTCATAAAACTGACAAACTTTAAATGCAGACAAATAATATGTTGATCGCTGGATCTGTTAATAATGTATATTTTAAAAAATTTCTACAGTAATTCGACTACATAAAGAAGAAAATTGATTATAATGAAATTGTTGGAGATAGTCAGCAAGAATTGGATGGATACTAAGCGAAAGTCAGTAGAGTACAATATTAAGAATGCGATGTTTAGTAGGCATATGAATGAAATAATGATTATTCTAATCCATCATTTGTAGATTAGAATGTAAATCCAATTCATTTAGACAATTTTCAGTTTATTCTGAGTATTTTATACTGTATGTGGAATTTAACATCAATTGTAAATAACATTACAGGCAATACAAACGATAAAATATATAACACATAGTGAACAACAACAATATAGACAAACGTAGACTAATCGATATATATGTACACGTCGAATTTAAAAGTGAAAAACAAAACTCACTACAGAAATGGAATTATTTACTTTTGGAAGGGATGATATAGTTTGTTTGTTACGAGAAACAGATTTAGAGATTTCTTTTTCTTCCTCTTCTTCATCATCATCTTCTTCTTCGTCATCCTCACTTGTCTCTTCTTCACTGCTTTCACTTTCTGCTGTTGTGACTTTACGACCCTAAACAAAAAAGTAGAAAAGTTCGAATTTTTACACCTACATTGATAAATAAGGGATAGTAAAAGGTTAAAATACAGATTACGATTTATTAGTCAGTCATAATTGACTTAACGCTTAGCTCAAATATGCATTGACCAAAGTTACCAGACTAAATTAACGCGGCAGTGTGAAATTACAAAAATGAAAGGCGAATGACTTGAAATAATATACCGGAAAGGACAATGAGAAAGGTCAAATATTGACAATGTCGTTTGGAAAAACAAAACGAAAAAAGTACTTATTAAGAAATAGAATTTCCTGGCCTAGTAGAAAATAAACGGTATTGATATTTGCGAAGTTTTGACCGATTCTGAGCCATATCATACAAACTTTACAACCAATGGCAGCAATAATCGTGCGGTCCCCAACTAGCTAATCTGCATCTTCCAACATAGAGCAGACCAACAGTTAATGACTTCATACACTGATCTCATTGTTTTGATTTTTACACCACTAGCATTCTCCCGACCTACTCCCGCACCAACTGACGTTGTCCGTCGAGGTAAGTCATTGTTAGGCATACGCAACACACCAGTCGGCTCACAACCTCATAAACCGATTGTCCGACTTCGCCTAACCCAACATTGCCCGCTTGACTGTTCTACGAAATGCAACCAATAATTGGAAGATTATTATGATCAAGAACTTTCAGTCTATACATGCCTTCTACTTTCATAGGCTGTTCCATGACCATAGAGTAATATAGGGCGGACTGTTGCGTAGTATATTCATCCTTCGGCTGGTAGATTTACATCTCACCAATGGTATAAGTAACGCAAGTTGGTAGAAGAAAACTGAGCTTTCTGAATTCGTGTCTAGATTTTCCCAGGAACCAACCCAAAAGGGTTTTTGAGATTTCCAAAATACGTGAAGCGGTTGAAATACAACTATTTCACTTCCTATCGTTTATTCAGGCGTTGATGCAGACCAATACTAAAACGATATTTACATTGAGAAGGGGAGAAACGCATTCTAAGCATGTTTGCATTGTTGCTCAAAGCGAACAGAAGACCCTGAATTTTGATTAGATTCCTCAAAGTAAATTGTAGGATTTACGACTTTATAACTTACTCTGCACATTTTTTCGCAGCCAGAAATCTTTTCACACTTTACTGTGTGTTTCTATCCATTAAGGATGGTATTTTCCTAATGGCTTGCTTATGCTTTTCGTAAACTTACAAGGACTTTGTAAATACATTTGTATGATATAACTGAATCAAATTTTTAGTGGATTCATTTTCTATTCAATATTTTAACTTCATTGATGTTAGTTGGGTCTAGGGAAGAAAAGAAAACTTCATTTCCTTGCTTAATTAAGAGTAGTAAGTGATATAAATGTGTTTTAATTAACAAATAGTAACATTAATTAGCTGGGATAATAGAAGTCCAGAAAACATGTAGCTTTACAAACTGGAATTCCAGTTTCTAACTTTCAAAAACTGAATGAGTTTCGATACAGAAGAGTAGGCATGGAACAAACCTATCAGTAACATTTGTTATTGGAGGATAATAATATATTACAACTTACTTTAGGGGTAGTTGAATTCCGTTGTTGAGCTTTAGGGACTAGACCACTGGGGCGTGGTTGCCTCTGGTTACTTGTAGGTAGTGGTAAACCAGTACGTTTTTGGGATGATAACGATACAGGGCCATTTGATGACGACAATCCAGCTTGACGTTTTTTATCCGCAACAGTCATTGCTCGAGAAATGGAAGAGGATTGAGTAGACCGTTTGTTGGGGAGGTCCGAGATAGCTGGAGGCGGATGGGGGCGTTTACGAGGAGATTTTGAGAGAGCTGAACTCCCAGAGCCACTTAAGCGACCACTACGAGTAGTAGCACTGGAATCATCAGCTTTTTCATCATCAGGATCTTGAATAAGTTCAAGTTCTTCCTATGCGGATAAAACGGAATGAAATATCGTCAAAAATCAAAGCTTGATCATGAATACAGTAACATAAGAGCATTCAAAATTAATCAACCTTAGATAGATACACTTTCGGAGCAAATTAAATAACTTGTTGCATCAAAACATGAAAAAACTAAAATTAAATGTATTAGGTAGTTCCAAAATACTTCTCAGAAAAGTCAGTGGGTCTAGAAAGCACTTGGAAACATTTTATTCAATAGGTATTGAGTAGACGTTTCTCTAAAACATCTAGAATGATGACAGATCCTCTTACATTTTTGATTGGGTAGTTATCTTATTATCATATAAGGTATGCTTTTGGAAATTTCTACTGTTTAGGGCAGGTTAAATGGTATAAATACGCACGATTTTCCGTACATTGGAGTAAATGTTTTCTAGCACTTTGCACCTCTTCTCTTCTGTTCAAGTTGCCATATAGATTTAGTCTGAGGTTATTAGAGGCGGCTAGAAAATCGGACCGAGCGTTCAATTAGCAGACTTAATAAAATGTTATTAACATATAAGTTATGTCTAGACTAGTTCTATTAACTGAATGAAATGTACGATGTAAATACTTAGTATGAATAGATACTTACCTGTTTTTTACGGATTTGTTTTTCGAGTTCTGCCTGTCTTTGTTCCTTAGTTTTAATTTTTCTCTTTAAGACACCCATCGGTGGGCTCATATCTTCTTCAGGATCTTCACATCTTTAAAGTGATAATTAACCAATAATGTTTAAATCAGAAAGTAAGAGAGTAAATAAAAAGAAAACGTTCACATCACTTTATTAATTTATCGGACAAAGAAAAATTAGACGAATAAACTTTATATTGATTTGGCAAACAACCGGTAGCCCAGCTCAATGAGTTAGTCGAAAATTAATCATTGACTAAATTCAGTAACCAATCCTCACATGATATATATACACTCCCGTTTGAAGAAACTGTAAAGGTGTCCTGATTAGAAAAGTTGTGGGTTGAAGCAGCCAATCACAGTTCAACATAAGTGTTTTAACGCCTAGATATTGACGCTTGATACATAAAACAGGGATCGTTAAAAACATTCTTTTACTTCAGACTAATTTATTTAAAAAATAAGTACACTGAGGACATGAAAGTAGGGATACTATGATGTTATGAAACATTAAGAAAAGGTGAGAGATGGAAGTTAGGTAACGGGAGAATCGATTAAGACTATAACAGGAATGTTAAAAATCTACATCCACAAAGTCAGTGGACAAGGTGTAAGCGCTTATTTGAGTCTTGGTCAATATGAAACGAAGATATTGTATTATGAATCTAAATTATGTGTAATTTTCCTAGTACATCAATTAAAATTAACTTAGAAACCAGGTGTACGTTAATATAATCGGTGTGTGAAGTGGAGTTTGAAACTAAAGCATAAAATGGAGTACCAAGTGTTAAAATTAGTCATCAGTTCAATGTTCTGTATATGACAATAAAAACTTGTTCTATTAATAAAACGTAGTAGGGATTATATCATCTTTTATCTATTTGAAAGTGATCTAATTTTTAATTAAGAATAATGTCAATCTAAAACTATTTTTTACCGGAGTTCCTTAATGAATGTACAGTGTTACACTACAAATAATTTCATATGAATTCAAAAGATAATGAACAGTAAATACAATTTCATTAACAAGTGATTGATCCCTGGAAAAGATTATTATAAACTAAATTTTGAGTCTTGTATCTTAAGGTCATTTATTGTTGTGTACTTAGTTGTTTAGGTGTAGAACACTATTAATTTTACATATCAGTAATATGAAGTGAAAGAAATTTATCAAAAGAAAATGGTGAACAAAATAAATGCAACAACCTCTTATGTTTATGATCTGGATTATCACGACATTGCCAATTATCTGGAACATCCCGTCCGACAAGGCTCTGTGAGAATGGAAGTATTCTCCATTTTAAGCATTTATCTGAAAGATGAAAAACCATACAATGTTGAAACTCATAGAAACACCGGTAATTCATACATGGTCGGTTAGAGGAAACAATATAAAAAATTGGATAGATTGTACAGAAAGTAATACGAAACCTGATGAATTCCGTATTGAATGCATTTTTCAAGTAGGAATACCGTGTTCTACTGCGTATGCATACAGGTTATTCAATCGAAAATGTTACAATTTGTTGAAAAATAGTAATGCTTTTTAAAAATAAGAAAATAGAAAGTATCACAACATATTGATATATCAAAGACAAGTATTTGCAACATGCTAAGACCAAAAATGAACGAACTTTATGTCTACCGGTCATTTCGCAAGATGAAATGATCCCTTTATAAGAATTTAAAACTGGTAGATATTAGAAAGGTAAGCAAACAAAGATATTGCCCCCAAATGCCCTGTTACGGCCGAGAGTGGGGAGAGTCCGCTCTCCCTCTCGAAATGCTCTCACATGGCTACGCGTATACAGCCTCTGCCAGGGAAGTCCTACTCAAGGCCTTCTCGTGGTGGGGGTGTTGTTTACGAAAATGAGAGGACGAAAAGCGAACGTCCGGCGCTATAACCGGATCCCAAATCAATGGTGCACATGGGTTCCAGTATCCTGAAAGAACAAATGGCGTATGAACCAATTTCTTGGTCACCGGCTTCCATGGGACTGCATCTCCTCACGATGCTCCACTGCCTTGTGGATCAGACCTTTAGGTCAAGGGCTCGGGGTGTGGCCCCTTAAGAAAACAGCCTGCTTCGGTTTGGGCACCCGGGCAGTATCACAGCCCTCACACAAATCAATTGAGATTCGTGTGGCGCATATGTATTTGGTGCCTCCTTGTACCAATACCTATGTGTTAAAATAAATAAAGATATTAACGAAGCAGAAGATTCAAAGCTGAGGCAAATACTTTGGTATTATATAAGAACTTGAATGTGTGGATTAGGATATTTTACACAAGATATTTGTATGGACAAATAAAAATGTAAATTTTTAACAAATTAGTGGGATCATTTATTGATGGTCATCTACTTTTGGTAAACACCAAACTTCTGTGTATTTACCGCAGATAAGCTATTTAGTATGTTTTCTTTGCTGATCAGTTACCTGACAGACGTTCAGGTGTATAAATGAAGGAACAACTTTTAGAACATACTTCACGATTTCAAATTCGGATTAGTATGTGTTATAATAGACAACAAAATTGTTACAATGAGCAGATAAATCTTATCAAAATAGTTGCCTCGATTCCTTAAAATAAATTTAAAGTTTAGTTACATTTAAAGCTATTCAGTAATTCATCATTGGAAAAACTGCTTCTGTGCAGTTCGATAACGCCAGGATTGGTTTGCGAGGCCTGAAAGATAGATAGTTTTATGTGATACTGTGCAATGAAAAAGATAGGTATCTGCTGGTGGTGCTACAATTAGTCATAAAGCTGAATAAGGTAATGTCAGAGACAATACTAGACCAAAACCAGTAACAACTGAGCAACAGAGTTTTCGTCTTTTGGTTGAAGAGTAATGAAAACGAGAGAAGGATGGAAACCCATACATGACCACTTTATATTTTATCACACTTGAGCATTCAGGATGCAAGTACAATCATTCATTTGACCTCAACTTGTGAATATAAAGAACCGGCACGATTTGCCTGTCCTAGTATTTGGAGACCCCACTGCTACTTCAGGTAACCTCGCTGGTGTAGATGTAGCATTAAGTTAAAAAACAAAATAAGACTCGATTTCATTAGACAGTCGCTTGTGAGTTGTTTGACTAAATGGGACAGTAAGAACTCAAAAAGACAGGGATGCACGCCGTTGCCTTTCCGTTATCTCTGCCTGTGCCACTATTAATTGCAGCTCGGATGAAGTAAAAGATGGATTTTATGGGAAGTTATCCAACCTCCTTCTAAAAGCTAAACGCTTCGATGTCGTTTAAGTAACAGATGATTTCATTGCTCAGTTACGTAAGCTAAACCAAACTGGAAGGAACTTGAGCGGATCTTATGGTGTTGAGGCTCAGAGAACAGATAGTGGCGACCGTTTGTTGCAACAATGCTCAGAAAACAACCTATTATTGGCAAACACCAGTCTGAAACATAAGGAGAAACGTTGTCTAACGTGATGACCATCAAAATCAACTCATCAATGGATTCAAATGGAGCACATTGTTATTAGCCATCGTTGGAGGAGCTCTATTGAAGACTATCGCTCATTCTACAGCATATGTTTACACTCAGATGTGCTCCCGTTTGAGCACGAATTTGTTTGCGTCTTACTCGGTGTAGAAAAGCCACAGCAAGAAAACTCTTTAGAGTTCAACTTAATGACGAAAAAGCTAAGAATATATTTGAGGAACAACTAACTAGAGGAGCTAGTCAACTATGAAAATGATATCCACACCGAGGTGGCTTGGCATGATATCTGAAAAGCTGTGGAAACAGCAGCGATATCAACTAGTACCTTAAACCAAAAGGTTAGGGCAAATCAGTGATTTCATCGGCGTCTACGGAACTGATAAATGCTCGAAAATTCATCCTGTCTGGCTCAAAACATGTGTTTCCAGGTGTAGGAGTAGGATGTAAGATGCTAGAGCAGGCCAGACTGAAACATGGCATCAGTCCATAGATTTACTGACAATTGGACTGAGCCATGTTAATAGATGTAGAGCAGCTAGCTGGTGTTGGGGTGATTAACGTAGTCAAATTGTTAGAATTTGAATGATACGGTTCAACATCGTTTGCAACGGCAAATTAATTTCGTGAAGCTTCACAGTGAAAAAGATAGATGTACTATAAGCGTAAGTGGGCTTAGACACTCATCAAAGAAAATTAAACTCAACAAAAATATCTGATTACCACACTGAACACAAATGGAGACAGAACAACAGCGACGACGGGCATATTTTTCCTCTATACTAGGTGGGTCTCTCCAGCGTGCTGATAGGTAGCCAAAACTTTTCCAGAATCGTATTAAACTATCTGGTTCTTTATCAATCCCAAGGTCATCCCAATACTGCATTAAATGATCCGCCATTGCACGCATAAGTTGACGATATTCTTTAGCATCAGCAAAATCTTGCTTGTTATGTGTAGGTTCTGACGGAATAAAAATTTTGAAAAGCAAAAAAGTTGGGAGGAAAAAAAATGTTATTCTTATTTTTGAGCTCATCTGTAGAAATATATTAAACATTTTTTCTGATGACGCGGACAACATTCTGTTGTGGCGTGAGTGAATTGAAACAGTATAATTGGTGGATATGGAGGATCCACCTAGGGGAGTTGGGAAACTGATTCCAAACCGATGGTGCACATGGGCTCCAGGATCCTGATGGAACAAATGGCGTATGAACCAATTATTGGCCACCGGCTACTATGGAACTAGGTTTCCTGACGCTGCTTCACTGCCTGGTGGTTAGACCCGTAGGTCAAAGGTTTGGAAAGTGGTCTCCTAGGAAAACCACTTGCTGCGGTTTGAGCACCCGAGTAGTGTTTGGGCCCTTACACGTATCGAATGATTTGTGTGGAGCATATGTATCTGATGCCTTCTTTTATCAATGTTTATGTGTTTAAATAAATAATTAAATAATAAATGGGCAAGTAACCAATTGGTGATTTATTCATATAAAAGGAATGAGAACTGTTTATAATGTGTAATTCTGATTTATGATGTTAACCGATTCGGAAATGAAAGTTTATCAATGACGATAACGGATGAAGATAGTGTTATCTTATAATGTAGACGATTGGAATGCTATCGAGTAATTTAAAATACAATCGTATGAACGAGGAATATTCTTTTCAATAATTTCTCATCAGGTTCTACTATAATAAATCCAAATTCATAATCCATAAAATTAGCCAGATTTAAGGCAGAGTACATCATGTGGAAATTGTAATATGTGAATTAAGAATTGTTATTTGTTATATCAAATCAAATCAGATCGTTAATGTTGGAGCTGATCAATATGAAGTTGTTGACTTGAATCAGTTTATAAGTGAAATGAAATTGAGCGATAAATAAATTTCCGACCGAACCAAAAAGGTCTGATCATTTATCGCACAATTTCATTTCGCTTATAAACTGATTCAAGTTGACACTTCATATTAGTCAGTCCCAACATTAACAAACTGATTTGATTTTGTATGACAAACAACAATCCTTGATTTACATATTACAATTTCCAAATGATGTATTCTGCCTTAAATCTGGCTAATTTTATGGATTATTAATTTGGATTTATAATTGTAGAACCTGATGAGAAATTATTGAAAAGAATATTCTTCGTTCATACAATTGTGTTTTTATATAATAAGAATTTTTCAGTAATTTAAAATATCTTGATTGCCGTAAAGCCTAATGATTATGGGTTTTATATTGTGTAGGATCGTGGGTTTGATACTATTGAGGAATCCCGAAAAAGGACAAAACAGCTGTTTAACTCTTAGTGGTTTTCAGTGGCACTTCAGTAGGCATTAGTTTAGGAGTTCACAAAAAAATCTTTACAAATCACATAACCTATATAATACAGTGTATTAGATATCACGTAATATTTTGATTTATTAAATTAAATTGAATCTGAAACACGTTGATGAAGATTGTCAAGCAATGTTTTTCACGTAATGATGAAATCGAGTATTAGGAATCACACGGTCAATGCACAACATATTTACGTAACTGTTAAACACACCAGTGGTCTAAATCTCAAATCATTGAAGACAAGTATTATATTATTGATATAGGTACAAGTTATTTGAATAAGTACTCACCAAGAACCATATAGGGTACATCGACAATTCCAACTACACCACGGCACATCATACTTGAATCTTGTTGTGGTCCAATACGTTGATACATTTTGATTAGACGGGAACAATTATAAACAAACATACCATCACAAGCGCGGTTCATAACATTTACACCAAAATAAAATGTCAGTGTTTTCGGATCCTTGATTGATTTTAGTTTGCGCGTGACTACATTCTGTCGCATCGCTACAGCTCCGCGTAGGTCGGCAGCGGTGTTTCGAAGACGACGTATTTGACGCTGAAAGGAAAAAAATGTCGTGTTTGATGACCATTAGCATGTTCTGAATTGAATTTTCACAGCTATTCTGATAATCCAAGTAATACATTCGTTGACGAGGGGTGGTTAAATTGATTACTTAAAAAAATTCTAATGTGGGTTTTTGATAATTTATCAAAATTGTGAAAGCCAAAAGAATCATTATATCAAATAATCATGTATATTCTGGCTTTTCAGCCGCCGAAGTAAGATAGTTGTCAGGAGACTTTATAAACTGCATTATTAACAAAGTGCAACTCAGTAGTATGCAATATTATGGAATGAAATATAGGTGAACCTTAAAAATGAATTACCAATTGGGATTTATAGCCTCTAGAAATGCTAAATTGAATATTCTACGGTGGATTTAATGCAAAAATGCGGTTAACAAGTGGTAAAAAAAACTTCACTTCTGAATATAGATATAGTTTGACTAGTATCTCTATCCGTAACATTTTGCCATAGCTATATGTAAACAAAATACAGTTCGAATCACAAAACTTACCAAATGTTCGGGATCCTCAGAACCTTGGTAACGAAGTTCACAATCCCTCGCTTTGCTTTCTGCCTCCTGAGCTCTAAGTTCCGCTTAAACGGGAAGGATAAAGTACAAGCAGAAAAATTCATGATACAATAGCATCTCATCTCTACCATTTTGCTAAACAAGTAATCTAGTTGGAGAACACTAGTGTTATCATCAAACTTGGTTTAGTGCAAAAACAAATCCGTTTAGTGGAGAGACTAACTGTACCCATAAAAATATAATTGCTAGGTGTGGTTATCAAGAGATTATCTATTAAATCACACCTTTTAGTAAAAGAATCTATAAACTGCTAGAACAAATCTCACCATTTTGAGATGTAAAGTGGTTGTTGGAGGTAGTCGAAACAACTACCTTATATGCCAACATAGTGAACACGATGCCGAGTCACTCAAACTAGTGGGCACTATGTAACTTAGTCGACAGAATCAATTCAGCACGAAGGACTTCGCATATGCGACATTGATCACTACACATAGATCGGCCAATTGTACATACAAGTCTCGCAAGTTGTTATAGTATGCGGGTGCTGGTGCACGTTAAGGGAACTGTGTGAGGAAAATATTCCAGAAGAAAATTGCATTTGTTCATGTTTTTGTGCTTTTTTGACTAAACCGTTACATTGATCAACTTTTTTATGCATCAGTGTGAATGGCTATTATGGATTAGGATTTTATGGTTGTCAAATGAATACAACGCACCGATTGATTAGTGTTTGTTCACGAGACCCCATTTGAACAGATAGAACAAGTGCCCATTAGGATTTTTTGATAAAATAATAATACAAAACACTGAACACAAGAATAAACATGTTTAAATATTATAAACGACTAAACGACATTGAATTCATAGATAGCACACTTCAATCAATTAATATTTGAACTTGAGGCTATCTTCTTGCCCAAACATATCAATACCAAGACAACAATCAGTTTGATATTTATTCGATCTGTTGCAGAGCCTATGCTTTTAAAATCACTTGGATGAAAGAGGCGCTTCTCACATACAGTTCTCAGGTTGAATACAAGTGTCGTTTGCTTTTACAAAAAGATAAGTGCATAATGGAGTAGTTTAACCACAAAATCTCCCCAATCAAGTTACTGATAGTACTTTGGGTAAAATTAATTAATGAGCGATGGGGATGTCACAGTTTTTAGTTTTTATACCTGAAAATGTTTCATTGGAAGTCACTAAGCAGTCGATGTGCATGAGCTAAAATTTATTAAGTCTTATGGTGCTAAATAAAAATGATTTGGATTAAAAAGACAATCTAAAGTTTTATCTAGATTAGAGGAATAATTATATGGGATAAAGTTTGAATAACGCATGTATGTGTCGAAAATCAAGTTTCATTTCCAAATGCATTTATCACAACTTACCTATTCTCACATCATTCTTAGCTTTTGCTAAGTCAGCTTCAGCTCTAGTACGAAAGGTTTTGCTTGCAAAATTATATTTTCTAGTACTATGTAACGTTGCTAGTAGTCGTTTAGTTTGGACTTTTCGTCCTTGTAAATATACTTTCATACGTGGATCGGAATATAAAATTGACACATAAGCTCGAAGACTACGTCTTTCTGGTGGGAGCCTAAAATTGGTGAAAGAGAGAATTTACAAGAAGGATATCTATTGTGTACCTGCCTAAGGTTATATAATATACGATTTGAAATGAAAAAATACACATTTGGTCAGGAAAGCAAACAAAGACTTGTTAGACAAAAATGCAATTGGTTGATTAAATCATATTAGAAATAAGTAGTAAATAAGGTGCAAGATAAAAAAATTTCAATAGAGAGAAAACTAGTTGATAGTGTGAAAATCCTCATTTTAGCAGTAGTATGAAAAGGTTTGATGTTAGAGTAAATGGGAATATTAGTAACTATTGATTGGTACTAAAATAGCATAGAAGTCGTCCACAAACTTTTTGAATAGGAAGAAAGCGTGCATCTGTATAGTTGCCATTTGACAAAGAATGTTGAATAGTTTACTTAGGTAAATCAAGGTCTGCTACGAGGCAATGAACTATATAGGTTTTAATTTTATTCGGCATTGTTGTATCAAATTAAATTGATGTTTATATGTCATATGTTTTTTTTTCTCTGATGTGTAAATGATTGGCTTATGAGGCTGCTAGGCAAGTCATTCAGTCTTTGTCAGATGCTTGGACATCACATAGTATAAGCCAAAAAGTTTTATTCCTTGACATTAAGTCTGACTAATTTGTTGATATTAAGCTTAGAAATCGTTCGTCAGAGATTATGTCCGAAAAATCTATCAATACATTGATAACTCGATACAAAAATACTTGAGGCAGAATAGGAGTATAAAAGTGTCTCTCCACAAGTTGAAAGCAACGAGTGAGATAGTTGCCTAATCTACTCACTCGCTTTTAAGTTTTAATGACATCCACGAAATAGCTAGCAAACTATAAATACTGAGTGTTTCTCTTCTGTCTTTTTATTTCTTTTACTCTGATCGCTTTAAACGTACAATTATTAAAATCAGCTATAGTTAATTTAAAACCAGGTACATATGAGTCAGTTCAAGTTGTCACACCACACATACTGAGGAAATTAACAAAAAACGGGACGTAAGGAAGAGGAGTATAATCTTTAATAGAAATCGAAACAAGAGCAATACAACTGTGAACAAACGGATAAAATAAAAAGTTGCTTTTTTTAAAAGAATGTAAGCTTGATTTGTCTTTTCTGTTAAATTTAAAAGGGATAAAACGTTTTTGTGTCCAAATAGAGTGTATTTGTCATGTGATGAACCGGAACTTGAAGAGGCCTACAGTTCATTAGTGGGGTATTTAGGTCACGTGTCTTTCTTTACTACTTTATATGTTCTACCTCAGAAATTTATCCTATCTTTTTGGACTATATTCTGGCACCAAAGATCTCTGAAATACAAGTACAACTATTTGAAAACATAAAAGCTGATCACAGTGACAGATCAGCTATTTTTCATAGAACCAAGCAGAGCGAAAGCTCTGAACCAAAAACTCGTTTTGAGCATGACATTGTTCTGGTAAAACAGCTACTTAATCAACTCATGCCTCAAAATATCTCCGGAGTCACCTTGCTAAAGGTGTATATACTAGGTAGTCTAGCGAACTTGAAGCCTAATCAATCTAGACTGCTTAAAGTAGTATTCAAATCTTCGAATGAAAGGGACTTAATTTTAGAGAATGGACATAAATTAAAGGGTTCGGGAGTTTTCATCCGAAAGGACTTGCCGTTGGCAGACCGTGTAAAAAGACGGGAAGCCGAAAAAGAACTACAAATTAGGTTAGACGCTGGCGAAAAAGACCTGAAAATTGTAAATTTTCGGGTTGTGAGGCTTCGTCAGAAAATGATGCCGAAGTCACTCTGGGAAAAGCAAGAAGCCACTTAAATAGGCTTCAGATCTGTTACACTAATGCCCGAAGCTTGCTCAATAAACGATCGGAACTAGGTGAACAGATTGACTCTACAAAGCCAAACATAATCGCAGTCACAGAAACCTGGCTGACACAGTCTATAGATAGTATAGAACTCGATTTTGAAAGTTTTACTTTAGTAAGGACCGACAGAATACATAAGCGTAAAGGAGGGGGAGTAGCTCTATTCATTAGGAATGCTATCCCATTTGTCGTTATTGACAGTGTATCCCACGAAAGTGGGACGTGTGAATTGGTTAGTTGCCGCTTGAAATTCAAGGGGCAAGAGCTGCTGATTAGTTTGGTCTATAGCAGTCCAAGCTGTGAGGTAAATGATGTCCTGCTAAACAGGCTTAAAAATTGGTCGCAAAGCGGTCGATGTCTAATCCTAGGGGACTTTAATGCACCTATGGTAGACTGGGGAAATCTGCGAACTGAATCGTCAGATAATTCCTTCGAGCAGGAACTAGTTGATGCGATTATAACATGTGCCCTAGTGCAACATGTCAAAGAAGCGACCAGGTACGACCCGGACACTGAATCATCCTTACTAGATCTTATATTAACTCACTATGAGAATGACGTTGCGAACCTCCTTAACATGCCACCCCTAGGTAAAAGTGACCACGCAGTTTTAACTTTTGACTTCCATATAACTATCAATCACGAGCACGCGTCAGCTCGATCCAGACCTAACATCTGTAAAGCAAACATACCAGATATCATGCACTCAGCATCGTTAGAAGGTTGAACAATAGACCCAGAGTCCTCAATTGAAACGGCTTGGGACGCATTCCGAAATTTATACTTAAAAGTTACCACACCCCACATCCCTTGGACTATGCCAAGGAGGCCGAGAAACTCCCCACCATGGTTCAGTAGGGAGGTCCGCGTCCTTCTCCGTAAGAGAAGAAAAATGTGGGATAGATTTAGGTTACTGGGGACTGATGAGACAAAATCTAAGTACCGAAAAGCTAGGAATACCTGTGCCTCGACCCTCCGTAAGTCTAGAAAGCTGTACGAAGAAAAAATTGTTAAGGAATCCATAGAATGTCCTAAACGCTTGTATTCCTATATAAACCAAAGGACAAAAAGAAGAGGAAATATTCCTGCACTATGGGGAGACAGTACTGCCGCATCATTAGTGGAAGATGACTTTGGTAAGGCTCAAGTGTTCTCGAACTACTTTAGCAATGTATATACCATAGAAGCACCCTTTCCGTCAGCGCATACAAACCCCCCACACACATACACTGGATAGCGTGACCATTAATGAACTCGATGTCTTTGATCTGCTAAATAAGCTTGACATAGGTAAATCCATGGGGCCCGATGAATTGCATCCTAGGCTACTAAAGGAATTATCTAACTTCGTTGCGAACCCTTTAAGTATATGCTTTAAGCTATCCGTTACGCAGGGTCGTTTACCAAAAGACTGGAAGAACGCCATAGTAAGTCCTGTCTTCAAAACAGGTACGAAACATAAACCTGAGAATTACCGACCCGTTAGCCTAACTAGTGTGATTGTTAAAATCTTAGAAAAGATTATTCGGAAAGAGCTGTTTAAATACCTCGATGTAAACCGAATCCTCTCGGAGAAACAGCACGGTTTCAGAATAGGTTATTCTTGTCTCACTAACTTGTTAGTCACTCGAGAAAGCTGGTGCGCTTTTAAGGACCAAAAGTTACCTGTAGACGTGGCTTACATCGATTTCAGCAAAGCTTTTAACAAGGTTCCGCACAACCGGCTGTTATATAAGCTAAAAAATGTCGGAATTGGAGGCAATCTATTGATGTGGATAGAAGACTACCTAGTTGGGCGCCAACAAAGAGTACGGGTAAGCTCAAAGTTATCTAGCTGGGAAACTGTGCTTAGTGGAGTGCCCCAGGGTACAGTTTGGGGGCCAGTGCTATTCCTCTTGTATGTAAATGACCTTCCTCGCCTATTATAATCATCGGCCTTGCTGTATGCTGACGATGTCAAGATATGGAGAACGATACGATGTAAGGGTGATAGCTTAGAACTTCAAAATGACCTGAAGAAATTATCCGAATGTTCTCATACCTGGCAGCTGCCGATAAATACTTCCAAGTGTTGTGATGCATATCGGTCATCAAGGTACAGATATATACACGATGAATAACACTGAGCTACCTGTTGTTCAGACACATAATGAGTTAGGAGTCATCGTTAGCCAAGATCTAAAGACTACTGCACACTGCCGTGCAATAGCCGCCAAAGGTTTTGGAACTTTATGGTCAATACGTAGGGCTTTTACTCATGTCGACGCTAAAACGTTTTTGACTTTGTATGCAGTGTCCGTACGTCCTAAACTTGAGTACTGCATACAAGCGGCTAGCCCCTGCTTAAAAAGACAGTGAGCTTTTGGAAAAGGTCCAGAAAACAGCAACTATGCTGATTCCCGGAATAGCGAAGCTTCCGTATGATACTCGACTGGCCAAGCTAAACCTATTCCCTTTGTCATATCGTAGAACTAGAGGCGACTTGATTACAGTTTTCAAATTGCTTAGTGATAAATTTGCACCTGATATGCCCTTATTTTTCTTGTCTTCCAAAACAGAGAGTTTACGAGGGCACTCCAAAAAAGTTCACAAGCCCAGAACAAATTACTTGTCAGCTGACTATCGACTTTCCCATCGAATCATCGAGTGGAATTCATTACCTAAGCACGTGGTTGAAGCTCCACCCGTAAATTCTTTAAAAAGAAAGTTGGATCAACTGAGAAAACACCATTGCCAGGACTAACACAGGCCATCAATCATCCTGTCCTTTCCAAACTGAAACAAACTAATTTCTACTGTTTGACACCAAAGAGCCTAGTTTTACTCGCTATCTCAGAGGCAGACGGTTATCTTATGGGTTGGTACTGCTTTCCGATATAACCGCTGAGATCATTTTAAATTACGTCTATATTCTAGTAGACATGCAAGTGGTGGGAATGAAAAAAAAAAGCAAAAACGTAAGGTTATTATAACCAGTGACATTGTACTGTTTAGATTCTTAGCCAGGGGAGTTTATAGTTGACTAAACGAAAAAACCAAGAAATAATGGCTTCAAAGAGATTAATTTATGTCTAAAGCTTATTTTACTCGTTTTTATTTCCATGTTTCATAAGTTATGAGGGATAGGAAGTTTTAATGTCAGTATCATTAGTAATCAATTCCCAGTGAGAAAATAAAGAAAAAAAACACCACAACAGGTGTAACACTGAAACTCACACGGAAAACGTAGCTCAGGCACATGAAGTCTAAAACTTACCCTCTAATTGTTCAGCAAAAAGGAAAATTAAAAAAATTCGTGTATAATATTTTCCGCTTATTAAAAGGAAAAAACAATAATGGGAAACATGGAAGGTTGAGTTTTCATATTATTCAAGGTGGAGAGATACGCTTAGTTGCTTTTAGACGATAAGCAGAAAGTAATAGTAGTGTGTTAACTGATTAGATAATCCAACTGAAATATAGATTTACTTCCGAGAATTCGGAATCTTTATCGTTGATGAGGTCGCATCACACACCTATTAATACTATGACTATAGGAAGTGACAACTATGGTTAACTCAGACGATGAAGTCAAGTCTATTTCGGAGGCTACATTTGGCAATTTTCAATACACGAGTGGTCACTCCCTATGAGTTACTTTAAATTGGAAACGTAGGTCCTCATAAACAGGACATAAATCAGATTAAGCTTTGCATGGCCAAACAACCCAATGATCGTTTGTAAAATATAGGTTGTTAAAAAGAGAAACAGAATATTTTACTTACATAACCTCAGCATCAGGTTCAACGGTTTCTTCTTGTTCTGGTCCCGGACTAAGTAGGATGTCACGTGGGTTCGTAGTGACATCCAATTCAGGTCCTCCATGATCAAGAAGTTTCATGTTATATATAATCACAACAGTTCCTGAACTCTCTTTAAGTTTATCGAACTGTGCATAGAAATCCTTTAGGCAGCGGAATGGTGAGTACTTCAGGATTAAATGCATTTCGAGGTCATGCTAAGAAAACATTATGAACAAAGCAAACCTACTTTTTTCTTATCCTCGGGAGTCTCTGCGATAGGAGTCTTCTCAGGACCTCTAAAAGAGGGCATTGGGACAACTACCTGCAAGACATAAATATTAGGAGTCAAAGTAGAACCTCATCAAGTTTCTCTTCTTCATGGAAAGTCCTTGATAAAAATAGACAGGTGTAAATACCATCCTTTTTAGTAAACAGAACTAAATCGTTTCCAATGCGCATAGAACCACTATAAAATATAGTAGGCAATTACTATTATCAAACCTACGATTTCAGGCCGTTCCCATACATACCAATAGCGGCAGTATCCTCACACTTCTTTAAAGACTTTCCGAAAATTATGACATTTTTCACATCATCTTAAGCTAAACAATAAAATAATCGTACTAACCTGGTGTCATACCGCAACCGTTGTCTGCAAAGCAGAGAAGAAAGTTACCACGCACAGAGCTGTCTTTAACTGCAATTTTACAAATTAGAAAACTCAAAGCTAACTTGTGTATATATCCAACTCCGTTGCTCCTGCATCACGTGCATTATCAATAAGTTCCGCGATAGCACCGAAAAGGAATTCATGTGTCGTTCTAAAATTAAATCCAGTTATTTCGAGATGAAATTACGAGTTGGTATGTAGATAGTCATAACTGAGCTGAGCACGATTTAGTTGAGAATATGTCTCCATAAGACAATCCTACAATTAAATGCTGTTAATTCTGGGAGTTGTCAACAGACAACAAATGACAATGTTAGGCAATAACATACCTCAAGACCAAAATGTTCGATAAGGACGCCAAATTTTCAAAGACCAACTAAAACAAAATCCTTTCGTTAATAGTGATTTTGGTTTTATAGCCAGTCGGTTAGCGTTCGCGAATGTTTTGTTGAATGAAACTGACGACATATTGATAATCCAATCTTTGGAAGCTACGGAAGGGGGTCAAATGAACTACACAAATTTTCGCGATTCTCAGGACTGTATTCTACGTCTCACTCTTGAGCATGATGGCACAACCCAAACTTTTATAAAGAACCAAAGAGCCATTTTACCAATGAGTTTTTATTTTTGAATCTCCTCAAAAAATAAAGACGTCGGATCTTTGTTTGGATTCATGTTTCTGGTACGGTCGATTATGTATTAGGTATAAAATCAAACTGAAAGACTGAGGAGCTTTTGATGCCTGATGTTTCACAGTTACCTGTGACTCTTACTTCAAGGATTAAGCTGATCATAAGATTCTAAAATTTGGTAACCTTTGAATTTGTTTCAATAGCCACCTAATAAGGTGACTGGATGTGACAGGGTTGGATATAATTACTTTAAATGAAGTTTAACGTGGTTATACATAGAGTTCTCTTTTAAACAAGCTCATAATCACATCCTCGCAATTTTTTAATCCATGTTGGGTCATTTATGGATAATAAAAATATAAAATGGGATTCCCCCCTTTGTATGCTCCACTGATTACAATCAAATAAGTTGCTCTAAACCCAGTTCTTCAAGGAATTGAGAGGCTTGATGAGGGTGATTTATATAAATCTTTAACTTTATTCCCTATATAACTTCTGTAGATAGATTTTGATTTTGGTTGTTTTCCATTTTTACATATAAGTCCGCTCTTTTCATGATAATACGCTTGTGAGCCAATTAGAATGAAAACTTTCGTATCTTTCACAACCTATTCTGTTTTACTCCGTGAATATAGATCGGTGATTCTGATTGCAAGACACCTCTTGTATGTTTATCGTCGTGTATGTGAAAGTCACTTCATCAACACATTACTTGCGGCAGCCTTCCCTTTTTTACCTATTTCCATGTAACGTGTCTTCCATTGCTCTCTGCATCCACATATATTTTGTCTTTCTTTTATTTTTTAAATTTTTATTGAAAACTTAACAGTTGAGTTCATGAGTCCATTGAAGCTAGACTACGATGAAAAACCTGGAAACACTGGACGGTCTTTTCGTCCCAGTATGTGACTCGTCAGCAGTGCGCATCCACGAACCCGCTCGTAGGATTCAAACTCAGCACCTACAGTCCCGCTCGCGTCTATATTTTCTGAATTGTCGTCAACTTCTTAATATCCCTGGGCATTTTTGGTTGCTCATTTATCTTCATTTTAAGTGGAGTTTAGATTTCTGGTTGTCGTATCGGGTGATCCTGTTCTTGATCGATGATTACTGACTTGATTGGTTGTATATATCCTTGAAAGACACCTATCTTATAGCAGAGCTTATCTAAACAGATAGCTGATTGTTCGATTCACAGAGATTTGGATCATTACGCTGTGTTATTTGTACAAACTAATTATTCTTTTACACTTGATTACCTGCTTGTTACGATTTCCAAGCACAATATGTACATCTGTGCTCATCCAGTTCTGTCTGGTTTCAATTGCACTATTTCGAGTATTACTAGCTAGTACAATAGTTCAAATACTTCTAATAATCACATTGGCGTGGCGATTGAGCCTGTGGTTGAAAAGTTAGATATAAATTCAAGTTCTGAAGACTTTGAAGACTACATAGAAAGGTTTGAAATCTGGGGTATGACCAAGAAAGATGTTAAGGAGTGATAAAATTATGGCTCATTTCCTTGTGTTGATTAGAAACGATGCTTTCAACTTACTCAGAACTTTGGCACTCCCAGATACGTCTATTTCACTCCCTTATGCAACTCTTGAGGGACTACCATTAATAATGTAATGTGTAATAGTTTGAATGCCTTGAAAGAGAAAAGTTTCATAAAATTGTTAGTCGAAATAACAAAAGATTAGAAAATTTGTCTTTGAGGTAATAATACTTTTGCTGTGTTTTGGATGTATTTTTTTTTTGCTCAACTTTCGAACTTCTTGCTCATATTTGACCTCAAAAATTTTGATTTCACTCTGTATTTTTGGTTTGGTAATTTAAGTTTTGCTCTGGGGACCCGAAAAATGAAGGTTTGTTTTGCAATTGCTATAATTATTATTAGGTTAAGTACTTGTAATTTGCGGATAAACTCTGGTGCCTGAATTGGAATTTGGTTGTTTTGTCATTCGGAGTCGTAAGTTACAAGTTGATCAATTGACTGTGCCTCAATAACGGACGAGAGCAAAACTTGGGCGTTACACTTAATAAATATCCTAAACATAAATCATCGTAGACATTGTCATATTTGCCCACTATTGGTACATATTACATATCTACAGTGGGACAGCCTTAATTGTAGGAAAGAGCTAGATTAGCTCTCGATTCGACAATAAAAATGAGGAAAGAATTCGACCATATCCTGCATTTAGGAATCACAGTCAAAGGAAATCTCCGTTGGACAGGATCAATAAAAAGAACAGAGATGGTTGTCAAGCTATAGGTCGTTATAGAGGATTTAACAAATTCATGTCACTCGTCTCATCACGACTGTGTTGTCTACTATATGTTCTTCGAATTACTTCCTAGGAATTGAATTAGTCGAACTGTCTCGGCTTTAAAAAGGAGATTCATTATCATCATTACAACCTATGATTAACAACTCTGTAAAGCGCGATGGGACTTCTCTATGTGACTTCTATATGTAGAGACCGCCAGTTTGTGAAGCAACAAAATCATCTCAGCGTCTTAAATACGCTACACAACATATCTCATCTACTAAGCTTACTTTGCCCAGGTTGACAAGTGAGTTGTGATATTCCAGTAGATACATGACACTGATTAGCACTGGAAATTTCACAATAATAATAGCCTGATCTGTTGGCTTAAGTAAACACACGTCGGTACACTGTGGTGTTTGAATGAACTAATGATTCCTTTGTACTTGTTGAATGCTTGATTTCGAATTTCAAATACAGTACATTCATTATTGCTTGTGTAGTACTTCTTGATTCAATTGCGTTATTTCTGGGATCCTTAGTTACTTTTATTATTTAAATATTCGTAATCATCATAGATGCATGTGCTTTTCTGTTGATGAACATTGTCTCTTCGCGAAAGTTGCTAAAGATCGTGTGGAGTTAGCCAAAGTCTTCTCTAGAATCAACAAGAATAGAGAAGCTTCCTCACCACATGAAGAATGTAAGGGATGGTGCTAGTGTGAACGCATCCGATAATACTGATATTTCACCTATTGATGCGTCAGGTTGACGATAGACAGCCAAAAAGTGAGGCAATGGGATTCAAAGTGACTTCAACAGTCTAACGCTTTGGAGCAAAACATTGTAATTACCATTTAACCTAAACAAATGTGGGATCATATCTTTTGGAAAACATCCCCATGAACCACGAGTTTACTTAAATAAAAGTAGAGTTTAAACACTCAAATCAGTACATGATCTCGGTATTATTTATACAGGTAACCTAAAACTTGGAGAACATGCCCCCTTTATTATTTTTAATCCAGACGGCTAATTGATTTCATAACAAAAATTTCTTTCAAAACAGAGCCTTGGAGTACCATTTACAAGATATGTATGCTATCCTCCATTGAATATTGGTCTTTTATTCTCTCAACCATGAATGTCACAGACAAAATAGGGGTAGATGATGTTCAAAGATGCTTCATTCGCCGAAAATTTTGCATTTCTAAACTGTTGCATATTCTTTGATTTGCTACATACTCCTACCATCTCCAAGCCACATATAATGTGACCTGTGTTTTTTAACTCTTACCATTAGTTATCTTCATAGCAATGTGATATACTAAATGGATGTCTAACCCATAATACAAATGTTTTAACTATCTGATTTGCTTGTAACATGGAACCAGTAAAGATAGTGTATTTCTTCGGGAAGCTCAGATTAAAGCAATCTTTATATACACCACAAACGTAAGAGAGTATAACATCATGAAAGAAGGGAAAGTGGCGTTATTGACCAGCAAACATGATGGTAGGGGGATAACTTCAATCTACCCATGTTTGTAGGGTAGAACATTTTGTTAAATTACGGCTCCTTATGGTTACGTGTAATGTCATGAACCAATGGTAGTGGTGCTAATTTATTATGTAACTTCCAAAGGCGCTCTAATTTTCATATATACAATTCGAGCCTTACTAATATTATTGACATTCATATGTGAGAATAGTTATCCCTTATAATTCTATGACCAAAGTAGCGTATAAAATATCAACCTAACTGAGTAACCTACTACGGTGAAGACTGTAACTTCTGTACCAATTTGATCTTGTCTGTAAACTAGCATGCCTCATGCAACAGACTCTTATTTGAGAATAAATTATTATCATAACTAGTAAGCTGGATGAAAGATTTTGCCGACCTAGAACAAATGGCTCCAACTTGATTTGTCAAAAATATGGAATAAATAAGCGCAGGAAACTCGTCTGAATTCATTTGGGATCACTAAATCACATCCTCATCACATTTATTATCTGTGCAGTGAGTGCTTTTTTAAGTCATTGAACGTCTTAAAAGCTCCGCTGTTGTTTCGGTCTGCTGAAGTCCCTCAATGTATTACGGTAATACCGTCAACTAAATTACAGTTTTGGACGATTAGTTCACTTTCCTCCCGACCGCCGCACATCCATTTTGGTTGAACCTGTTTGTATTTAAGCCCTTCGCCCAGTACACACGTATATCGTGGTGAAACCAAAGGGCAGTGGCAGCGCATTGTTTAGAAGAAACACTGATATTCGGTGTCACAATTATTGTGTGAGCCATTGCTTAACTTATTTGCCTGGAAAATTCGCTGCT